CAAAGGGAAGGAATCGATTACAAGGAGACCTTTTCTCCTGTGTCTAAAAAAGATTCTCTTCGAGTGATTATGACATTAGTAGCTTATTTTGACCTTGAGTTACATCAAATGAATGTAAAGACGGCGTTCCTCAATAGTGATCTAGAAGAAGAGGTTTACATGAAATAACTTGAAGAATTCTTCTCTAGTAACGGTGAACATTTAGTTTGCAAGCTTAATAAATCTATATACGGATTAAAACAAGCTTCCTGTCAATGGTATCTAAAATTTCATGAAGTCATATCTTCATTTGGTTTTGAAAAAAACATCATGGATCAATATATATATCTGAAGGTTAGTGGGAGTAAGATTTGTTTTCTTGTTTTATACATGGATGATATTTTGCTTACGGCTAATGATAAGTGTATGCTATATGAAGTGAAACAATTTCTCTCAAAGAACTTTGATATGAAAGATATGAGTGAGACATCTTATGTCATAGGCATTAAAATCCATAGAGAAAGATCTCGAGGTATTTTGGATTTGTCTCAAGAGACCTATATTAACAAAGTTTTATAGAGGTTTAACATGAAAGATTGTTCACCAAGTGTAGCTTCCATTGTGAAGGGTGATAGGCTTGAATTGAGTCAATGTCCGAAAAATGACTTTGAGCGAGAACACATGAAAAATATTCTGTATGCTTCAGCTGTTGAAAGTCTTATGTATACTCAAGATTGCACTAGACCTGACATTGCATTTGCAGTTGGAGTTTTAGGAAAATATCAGAGCAATCCAGATGTTGACAATTGGAAAGCTGCAAAGAAAGTAATGAGATATCTTCAAGGAACAAATGATTACATGCTTATGTACAGACGAACTGATGCTTTGGAAGTGATAGGCTACTATACTCTGACTCAGACTTTGCTGGCTGCATTGATACCAGAAAATCTACATCTGGTTACATTTTTATGCTAGCCTATAGAGTTGTGTCTTGGAGTAGTGTGAAGTAGACCTTAACTACTACTTCCACTATGGAGGCTGAATTCGTTCCTTGTTTTGAGGTTACCTCACATGATGTATGGTTAAAGAGTTTTATATTTGGGCTTAGAGTTGTGGACTCTGTATCTAGGCCATTGAAGGTGTACTGTGACAACTCTACTGCAGTATTTATGGCTAATAATAACAAGAGTGAAAGTCAAAGTAAACACATCGACATCAAATATTTAGCCATAAGAGAACGTGTTAAGGAAAAGAAAGTGGTCATTGAGCACGTTAGCACTGAGTTGATGATTATCGATCCTTTGACTAAAGGCATGCCACCAAAGAATTTTAAGGATCATGTAGCACAAATGGGACTTGGTTCCATGATATGACAATCATTATGGGTACCTTCATTATTTTTTATCAGACTTTTTTTTAGACTTGATGTTTTCTCTTTCGTTTTGTGCACACTTTTGTTTGTTTGAGAAATATTGTTTAGTTTTGACCTTAAATGAACATGTGGTTTATTCATTAAGTTGAGAGCTAGTGTTAAAAGACTTGATATACTGTGATACATGGAAGATAATACTCATTATTAGAGGAATTGTCACCATGATTCATATATTTAGTTTCTTATTATAGTTGATAATGAGATTAATGGATCAAGTGGGAGAATATTAGCAACTGACTTCTGTTTGTAGTTCCGATTTTGAAGGGACATTATGTGATCACACAACCCCATTATCTGCATTCGTTTGTTCCATGCAGAGGTGGTTTTTACTAACTTTTTGGGATGGGCTCAATGATGGAAAAAGCCCTATAAATATTTTACTCTCTCATGGTTATAGATCTCCTGAATCTGCTCCTCCTTTAGAATAATACACACCATTGTGATTGAGTGAGTGAGGATTTGGAAAGACCGAAAACTTCGATCGCGAATCAACTTGCAATGGCTGGAGGTTAGTATTAATCAATCCATTCTTCACTTCCGTATAGCTTTGACAGTTTTTTACACTTAGATGTTCCAACAAGATGGAACTCAACCTATATGATGTTGGAGCTATAGAAAAATTTCAACCAGCATTTGACAAGCTTGAGTTTGAAGATTTAAGTTATTTAGACTATTTTGGGAGTGTTGATCCCCCTACAAGTGTAGACTAGGAAAATGCAAGAGCTTTTATCAAATTTCTAAAAAATTTCTATGAAACCACTAAAATTTTTTATCATCTATACATGTATCCATTATTTTGCATTTCATCAGTTAGCTAATGTTTGTTGTGAGCTAAAACAAATTTGTTTGAGTTCAGGTTCTATTTTGAGTAATATGGGTTGGAACATGAAGAAAAAGTATGACAAGTAATAGGGAGATATTTTCAATCTAAATCAACTTATTTTCTTTGATGTCATTTTTGATTCTCTATACAAGTTAAGGTATGTAGAGTGGTCATATGATGACATGAATAAAGATGACCCAAATTTTGCAAATCAACTATCCACTAGTGCCAAGTAAAATCTTTTCAAAATGTATAATTGGTATGTTACAGTATATGAGCAACAAAACAAGAATGGACATTCATCTTCTAATCCAATGGATGGCTCTTCCCATGCTGATTCATCTAATCTTATTGAAAGTTCTTATCATTTGGCAAGAACATATGCGTTTAAACAACATTTGAAGGAAAAAATTTTATTGATAAAAAAATGAATTAGAGAGGTACTTAGCTAAAGCATGTGTTGATGGAGAGGATAAATTTGACATTCTTAAATGGTAGAAAATAAATTTATCTTGATTTCTTATATTGGCATCTATGACCAAGAATGTTTTAGCTACTCCTATCTCCACTGTGGCCTCAGAGAGTGCTTTCAGCATTGGTAGTAGAGTGTTGGATATATTTAGAAGTTCTTTAAGTCCTAAAATGACAAAGACATTAATCTGCACTTAGAATTAGTTGAGACCCACTTTACAGAATTTTAAAAATCTCAATTTAATTGAAGAAATTGAGAATTTTGAGAAAATTGTAACATGTAATTATTTTCATTAGTTTTGATCATATGGCTTTGTATTTTATTTATTTGTATGGTAATTTTGTATATATTTTTCTGTTAAATTTTTCATTGAAGTCATTTTTTTCAAATGTTTTCAAGAATTTCAACAAGTTAATGAAAGAGCAACAAATAATGCAAAAGCAATAGAAACTGCAGTTGGAACCAATGTCCATTGGCTAAATGAAAAAATTTCTAAAGGGTTATTTTGTAACTTTATCTATCTATTACCTTATTTTTTTATTACTTTTTATTATTATATTTATCACTTTATCTTCTCTATTAATTATTGAAAATAGTCATTTTTTATGCATCTTTAAACACTTTTTGTGAGTCATTTATGCATTATTGTACTTGAGCTAAACTTATGAATTTAATTTGGTAAGAGTTGTCATATCTTTTCTTTTTTTCCTTGTCAATTAATCATTTTTGTTTCAATATCAATGCATAACATTTTTGTACTATTGCGGCTTGCTGCTTATGCCATCAGGTAATGTAATTATTAATTTGCAATCTAATATACACACATGCCATTATGTTTAATTGAGTTGGATATTCTTTTTAATGTTATTTGAATGTACATAAATTATTAGGCAAGCTTGAACATCTAATATACCTTGAACAAATCAACTGATCCAGAACACAGAAAAAGATAAACAAAGCAATAGCTAACACAATGAAGAAGATTTTGTTAGATTGTAAAATATCTTTAGTGTTAGACACTTGAGACAAGTGTAAACAATCAAACTTGATTAACTTATAAATGTTAGTATTACTGTCAATGAACATTATGTCTTTGTTATTATATTTTTATTTTGAAAACTAAATATTGAATAATCAAGAATGATAATACATTTAAACTTTACATTTTTCTTTTTAATGTTATTTGGATGTGCATAAATTATTAGGCAGGGAGTCTTGTTTATGTCTTAAAAATTTTAACTTTTGATGCTAATTTTTTTGGATGAATCTATTATAAAAGTTTCGTATCACAATAACGGCTAAAACTCAAATAAAAAATTTTATAAAAAAAAAATCATATGTAATACCTTAAAAAAAATTGTTGAGATTTATGTAAAAAATATCTTTAAAATTTATAATAAGGAAGTTCAACTTAAACTAAACTGATAAGAATCTAAATCTGTTTAAAACTAACAAGCTTCATGGACGAAATTGATTTAATATATTCACTCAACAATTAATATCACTTTCAACAAATTTACCCTGAATCCGACCCTATTCGTTCGACTATCAGCCCTAAGAGTTATGTTGTTTGTATAATGTTATTTTATAACACTTTTTATAGTATACAATTTTTTTTTATCTTTCAATGTTACATTAATTATTTTATCTCTTTTTCTCCTTATTATATAAAATAAAATAAAATTATACAATGTAAGTTCTTTTTTTTAAACTGCATGATCATTAACTAGAAACAATCTTGTTCAAATAAAATATTATAAATGGTAAAATTCTTTTTAAATATTTAATATAACTACATTCATATTAACCTTGAACAACTTCATTTTAATTTTTAAATTTATAGGTATATTATTAATAATTAAAAACAACTAATTGAGAGAGGCAATATTCTTATTTATTTTAAGAGGATATCGAGTCAAGCACTTAAGCTGTGTTCAAAAGATTTTGTTCATATTTAGATTAATTTACATGTACCAAGAAACTTTTATTAAAAATAACATTTATTGTTTGATAACTTTCTTAGAGTTGTTGATTTTACATTAAAAGAAAATCAATTTTCCACACAGTACATGTATTTTACGGTAAAATTAATAGAAAATTTTAATTTAAACATACATTTCAAATTTTCAATTATATTTAATAACTCCAAATTAATTTTAGTAAAGTGAATAATATCACTAAATTTCAAAACAAACAAAAACTAAAATAGTCATTCATGTAAACAAAACCGATTTAACAAATTGGTTATGAATGCCTATAATAATTATTTTAGCGGGTCAGCTGTTGGCTCGGCTAGTTTGTAAAATCAATTTCAGAAACTGGTGACTGAAATATAAATTTGTTTGAAGGGGTTGCGCCGCCGTCCCACCTTCGACGTTGAGCCTTCTGAGGCCGTAACCCTCTGCCAACAGGTACTCTTCCCTTTGCTCTCAAGTACTACTCAACTTAGCATCTGTTGCACAAGCACCAGAGCCTCCCTCTCTTACGCATTCTCTATCTCCCTCTGCTTTAGCTTACTTCTATTTGGATTCATTAAATTTGAATACCTTTCGTTATATGTTATGAAATTATAGTTCGTGAATACTGTTAAAAAGTTTTGTCAACTTTAATTTTGTTTATGAACGTCAAATGCAAGGGAAGAGCTATTCATCCTAATAAGAGTGTTTCAATTAGATTGTTGCTGTTCTTTTGCCCTAATTTATATTATTTGTTTTGCTAAGTTTAATTCTAGTGCAACTTCAATTAAATTGTTCACTATTTCTCCCTTCGCCAAGTTGTTGCCCGACAAACACAAATGATTGGACTCATTGGTCTGAGTTTGGATTATGCTACACGTCTTGTGCTTATTAGTAGTTGAATTTCCATTATTTGCCAAATGGACCATTAGTTTGTGCGTGCTATCTTTATGTGTAACAGTTGTTCCCTACGCGCAACAAAGATGGCAGATTCAATTTGTAGATCACTGAGGGATGGAGCATTAGAGGGAGAGCTAGCGCCTACACTCACAATCAAGGATTCGCTCGCTTCACCTTTTGGCTTCCATGTATTTTCTCACATTCTACTTCAACTCTCATCACACGTCATGGCACAAAAATCTCAGTCACTGTCAGTTTACTCTCCTGAAAAAAAAAATTGTCAATTCTTTTAACTCATAATTCTTGTTTTAAATCTCAAAAGCTTATATTTCTTTTCTTCTGTAGTGGTATAGTAATTGTTGCACTTTCTCGAAGTCCATCATCTTATTCTGCTTTGTTAAAGATGAAGGGAGTAGATGTTGCTGCTTCTAACAAATGGTAAATACTTTAAACTTAATTGTTTTAACTGCATTTCTTGTGCCTTACCATTATTTCTTTGGTGTTATTTGACTTATATCTTAATTTTAAATAAATTTGGATTTTTTTAATTCAAAATTATATGTTTTTTTTTGCAGGATTCACATTTTGGATTGTTATACAGATCCTCTTGGTTGGAAGGATAAGAATAGGAAATCTAGAAACGTTACAGATCCTTCTCACCAAATTTCACTTGCTACTAGTTCTTATAAAACCGTGAAGGATATGGAAAAGTTGTTTTCGGTAATTACTGAACTGGGCAGAGGTATTACTGATAGATTGTGCTAGCAACAGTTAGATTATAAATTGTTATCTTCTTCACTTTACTAAATAAACGTTCTTACATTCGTTTGTGGATTTCATGCTTACATTTTTTAAAATAGTTCTTTTTTGTTTTGAATAATTTCTCCAATTTGTATACCTGCAGGATTGGTTGGAGAAAATAAAGCCCGTTTCTGTGTTGCCATAGACTCTGTACGTTTTCATTCTGTGATTGTCAAAATATTTTAAGATAGACATAGCTTTAAATGAAGTTGAGTTGGTTTGATGGCGTGTTGGAATGAATATTCTTTGTGTCTTTGTGGCTCAGTGCTTAACATGTTCACTGTATAAGCAAATAGCTGAATACTCTATTAGTGTGCTACTTATGACACATTTCTTTGTTTTGATTTCGATGCAAATAACCTTGGAACTAGTCTTTTGAGATTTCCCATCACTTCCTGAGATAGCCATAAAAATTTCACCTTATCTATGATTATTATACCAATTTGAATAATAGACTATGTCTTGTTGTATTGCATGGAGTCCGTGGGCTTACATTCTCAGGTTTGTACTGCTTTAATAGTTATTATTTCAGCTAGCAGGAATTTGTTAACTGTGGCCACTGAAAGGGTGATAGAGACTTGAGAGCACTGCTCTATCTTTATTCATTTCAGCTCCCATAGCATGGTAACCTTAACTACCAAATGATTTAAATTCTGAAGTTGTCCTCCTCAAAGTTAGAGGCTTGGGTGAAAATTGGAAATTCATGGATGAAATGCATTAATTTATCTTGTTTAAATTTTTATATTTTCTTCGAAAGAAAGCAGTTATAAAGATATTATGTTACAAGTATTTCTCCCTGTAATCTGGAGCTAACTGTCTAACCTGTTTCTGCATGCAACTTTCAGATTTTCCTTTTACACCTACAATTTTTGTACAAGAAGCTTTTCCAATAACTTCCAATTTCAAACTGTAACGTGACAACAAGAAAAAATTCCTCCTCAAGAATTCTCTGTGTAATATTTTATCTGTTTTTGTATCTGTAATACTAATGGATTCTTCTTGGACATTATCAGCTAAGTGAGTTGTTGAGGCATGCATCTTTGCAGTCAGTTGCAGGCCTTCTTAGCAATTTGCGTAGCCATGGTATTGACTCTTGAACTGTTATGAATAAAGTTCCTTGTATAGTAGTGTCACAATTTGAAATTATTTAATTAAGTAAATTTTTAATAGTATCAAAACAAGTGGAATAGTTGATTCTTTCAGTAGCTAAAATTTATAATTTTATAGCATTGGTTGACTTGTTGCATTAACAATTTCTTCCTTAAATTGGTTGCTTTTCTATCATTGCAGATCAAATTTCAAGTATTTTTGGATTATTGCATTCTGACCTTCATGAGGAAAGGGCTGCAGCTGTTCTTGAGTACATGTCCTCCATGGTGGCCAGTGTAGACCCGTATCATCATTCTGCAGATGGTCAGAGAGGATATTTAGAATACTCCGCATCTGAGCAAAACTTTACTAAAGGAAAATTTAATGTCAGGTTCAAACGCAGAAATGGGCGAGTTAGACTAACGGTGATCTCTTTCTTCCTGTTCGTTATTTATTAGCTTTATTTGGAATAACAAATCTAAAATTTGATGCACCGATATAATATCTCTCTCCTTGTGTCCAGTATGAAGAATTTAAAGTTGAACCTGGAGGAATCAGCTTTTCGTCTGTTTCATCAGTAGACGGAACAGCCATTGCAGGCCTACTGCCAAAGGTTGGTCTATAGTTTCGTGTAGATGGAAAACTAGTACTGTGAATTTATGTCTGTCACTAGAAGTAAAAGCCAAAGTACTAACAACTTTTTTGTAGTTAGAGATTATAAATAGGTTTCACGAGAAAAAGGATCCACAGGAGATATTTCTTTGGTTGAATTAAGAACATAGCATTCACAAGGCCTATTTTTGAAATAATAAATTAATAATAATAATAATATATAAAAATTAGATGCTAGGAATGATGGCACTCGAGCATAAATGTGTAACAGTCTTAGTTCTAACTACTTCCCAATGTGCCAGTTTGGGTTTTCACCTCTTCGGTTGAACTGCCGAGTGCTTCTTACATTGCATATTTACATGGTATATTTTCAGTGCCCAAGTCTAATGATAGAATCGAAGTGTTTTATATCTTTGCAACGGGCACAAACTGTCTTGGAAATATCTCGTGCTAAAGAAATGCATACTTATTTTAAGTACTTTCTTTGTTCACCTACTGTAACACAAACATGAAGATAATTTTGATGACAGAGTTTTAGGAAACTGTCGGAGACTAAGCAAGAAATGCATTGTGATATGAAGTTGATTTCTTTTCATTGACCGTAAATAAATAATAAGAAGAAATTTTATGTATTTTTAACAGGTACAATTCAATCTCCAGCTATCAGAGAAGGAGCAAATTGATAGGGCAAAGGTTGTGCTTCCTTTTGAACACCAGGGTATGAAATTGTTTTGTATTTGTTCCATTTTTTAGTGTTTCAATATTGTATATACTCAAAACTCTTTATTCTTTAAGGAAATGGTAGACCGATACAAATTTATGACGGTAGAAGATCCCTTGAAGAGAGCAGCAGTGAGGCAACACCCATTTCAAGCGGTAAAAAGGAGGATTCTGCCATGGGTGAGATTATATATTTTCGTGATTCGGATGATGAGATGCCAGATTCTGATGAGGACCCGGATGATGATTTAGATATATGAATATACTCATATGTTTGATAACTTTGGTGACATGAAGGATAGTTTAGGTTTATAACTAAACAAAATTATAAGAAAAAAAAAAGGCCGATACTGTTTAATTGCTCTCAAAAGTGAAATGCAGTGGGATCGCGTTCCAACGTTTTGTACAGCCTACTGAGGAACCTAATATGGATGATTATGCGAACGTTTCTGACCACTGCTCAGTCTCTACAATCCTTATTGTTGCTTCAACTGGCAATAGAACTGTTGACATGAACGGAAAACAATACCTCACGTGTGGAAAGCCCTCCTCTATGTACCCCATAGCAATTTGAATCATTCAATGCATGCTTTGCTGAATTTCAGACCCTGCATGTTAAGGATTGATGTAAACTACATCCCAATTACTTTTATTGGGGATTTGAAATCCAAACATCTTTGACGAAAAAAATAATGAAAAAATCGCAGTACGTAATGGCTTTTTTACCAAACTTTTACGAAATTAAAAATTATTTATCATAAAATTACGTATTTAGTAAAAATTTAAAATTATTAATGTAAGTCTATTTTTCAAGTACGATTTTCTTATATATTATTTTTTTAAAAATAAATTAGTAAGTCAAATAGATTAAATATTTTAAAATATGTAAGTCATATGTCATATACGACGAATCCCAAATTTACATGTTAAATTCGAAATAATTTGATTTATTTTAAGTTTCAATTTCGGTGTCTTGCAGCCTTTGAGAGTGAAGTAAACTGAAACTTAAAGTAAATAAATTATTTAATAATAATTAATGCTTAAAATAAATAAATTATTCAATAATAATTAATAACGAGGGAAGATATTTATTTTTCTAAATATTTATTTTTAAAAATATTAAAAACGAGTGATAAAAATATAATATTCTCTCATCTTAAAAATATGTTATCACTTGAATAAATAAAAATAATAAAAAAATTTATTTAATATGCAACCAATAATTAATAAAAATAAAAAATGAAATGAATTTTTAATGTCACTAAAAATGAAACGAAAAAATAAAATAAAATACGGAAGCAGGTGTAAATTTTGAACTGAATCATAAGTAACACGGGATTGACAATATGTATTGTGAAAAAAATGGTTGCGGTTTGAATTATTTATAATGAAAACAATCATTTTATAAGATACATGAAAATCTTTTTAAAGGTAATTTCTCCTGAATTTATAGGATTTGAAAGGGTAATTTATATTTTTTAAAATCAACATTTATAATTTATTTTAATAATTAAAAATTAAAAAAATAATTATAACTCATTACTTATTATATGTAATAATTATTTTACATATATAAAAAATATAAAATATTCTAACAATTTAAGGCACTTTAGAAATTACTTTTAAAAAACATTTTAATCAAGTATTATTAACTCCGTTAAGGTTAAAAATAAACCATGTATGAAATTACCTAGGTATCCCCCACTAAAAGATATGCACGTTTTATGCCCTGCATTGTTGCCCGCTTGTCATTAGCTTTCATTTTACTTTCTCGGTGCCGTCCAACTCAGCTCCACGATATTTATTTTTCTAAATATTTTATTTTTTAAAAATATTAAGAACGAGGGAAGATATTTATTTGATTATTTATTTATCCTAGTATTTAAATTATAATAAGATATTTGTCTCCACTCGGCACCGCTGTCACTTAACTCGGTAACAGCTCCCAATCACCAGGCGCCAACTTCCCAAGTCTGTAAAATCACTCGACCCTCATTGGACCGTCACCATTCAATTTCAACCACCAAACTTTCAGCGGGAAAACCGCCGTTGTTGTTTCTCGAGGTCAATGCCACAGGCTTCCAAGTCCTCCCTCCCGCAAGAAACGTAACCACAATACAACACTCTTCTCCAATCCGCAGAGAGACACATATCGTGTGAACAAGGGTAACGGAATGATTCACTGCACTTGAAAATCGAAATTCGTCGGCGATGGACGAAACCGCCGCAACAACGAAGCCTGAGTGGCTAAATAACCACGCGAAGATCGCCGGAGAGAGCATCGAAGACATCAACGGTGGTGGCGACGATGATTCCGGCGACGACGAAGAGGAGTGCGACGAGGAAGCTTGGGATATGCTTAGCCGGAGCTTCCGTCAGGCGCAGACGGTGCTGGACGAGAACCGTGCGCTGATTCAGAAAGTGAACAACAATCACGAATCGAAGGTCCCTGATAACATGGCGAAGAATGTTGACCTCATTCGTCAGATCAGCGGTAACATCTCCAAGGTTCTCTCTATTTACTCCGATTTATCTGTAAATTTTTCCGACATTGTTCGCCAGCGCCACGTCTTGGCCTCCACCACTGTTAACCACCACGATTGTGACCGTGAACGCAGCGACGATAAGGCGGAGAACTCAGGGGATGATTCCGCGGCGCACGTGGCGGAGAAATCGGAGTAATTCTTTGTTACTTGACATATGCTGTATGATTGTTATTGTATTGTTCAATGCCTAGGGTATGATGTGATGTAGTTGATAAAATTTGAAATAAAATGGATGATTCAGTTGTGTGTGTGTGATTTTATTTTGAGGTGTTTTGGTTTGATTTGTGAGTGGGAGTAGGCTTTGCTTATGAGGTCGTTTGGAGAAAAGATAATGAGCTGAGTTTGATCATATTATAGGTAAATGTTTTGTGTGTGGTGGAGAGGGTGATTTGAGTCTTGACTTTTAAGAAATCTGTCTGTGCTCATTTCTTGTTCTGTGTTTTCTGTGTTGTAAGGATGATTGAATTGATGGCTGCGGGAATGCATATCCCTACATTATCCACCGCAGATTCGAGGTATTTATGCGAAGTTTGATTTTGTGTTTTCATGGTTGCTCTATTCTTTTATTCTTTTGTTTCAATGGAGGCTCTGTGGAGCTGGGAAGTAGGGAACGGAAGGGGGACAAGAGAAGGATTGAACCTATGGCATCACATTCACCATGGTAAAATGGTCATCGTTCAGTTCTCTGAGAGCTAGTAGTTTGTTATGAGTCCCACGTTGAGTAGAATAAGATGCTCAATATGATACTTAACCCTTGAAGTTCTCCCACCTATAGGACTAGTCTTTTGGGTTGGGCTCCCTTCATGTGCTTAAGTCATAACAACTGGTGCTCTTGTTGAGAGTTGGGCCACAGAAAGGGCTACCTTTAGGCTGGATCAAGGTACAAAATGTGCCGAATACGGATAGGTTAGTGGAACCGCTGAAGGATACCATCGGGTCAGTGTCGATAGAGTGAAGCTGCCATGGACATCAGCTCTTAAAGGAGAGGCTGCAATGTTATGAGTCCCATGTTGAGTAGAATAAGATGCTCAATGTGGTACTTAACCCTTGACGTTTTCCCACCTATTGGACTAATTTTTTGGGTTGGGCTCTCTTCATGTGCTTAAGTCATAGTTCGTTGTCTCATGCTTGCGTTGTTTTTGGTATTGTTGTTATCATTCTTTATTCTGATATCTTAATAATCAGTAGACTAGATAGCGCTTAAGATTACTGGTTGATTAATTTGATATGAATTCATGATCAAAGATGTGGGAAGAGCATAAATGTAAGGGAAACAGGTAGAAGCTAGTTTACAATGAGGCTTCTATGAGCTGAATAATGTCCTTTATTTTTTTAAGCGGTCTGCTTTGAATCTTTAATTCTGAAACTGAGACCAAACCACCTTAGATGGTTTCCATCATAGTGGGGTTGGCATCTTTCATGGCAGTATGCTGGTGTTGTGATTCCACCAGAGTAAATAGTTTTATTTGGGATTTTTAACTTTGAGACAAGTTTCACGCTACGAAACAGAAATCCAGACATTCATGAATTATGAATTAGGTATTCTGCATGTAGTAGTGCCTGTCAGCTCGCAGAGGTTAACATCAGGGATGCCTACAATTCCTACATCAAGGGAATAAATATTGAAATCTTGTCCTATCTGTAAAGAAAGGTCGTACTGTACTCAACTGCTTTCTACAAACTGTTGTAATTCTCAACATATTGGAGGTATAAAATACTTTGAAGGAAAACATTTGAAATTTAGTTTTCATGGTACTGAAGATTTTAAAATCAATTAGCTACTCATCTCCAACAAGGTTAACAGATTTCGCACAACCACTCTGATGTTATGAATTTATTGTAATCAGCTTTTTTATCAAAATCTTTGCCTATATGGGAATTTTATTTCTGGGTCACTTCCCATATCACGTTGCTCCTCTGACAACACTTGATGATAACCAAATTGACTTAGTAATGTGATCATAATGGGAACATCTTTCAACTATTTTGCAAATTCTCTAATGGTGCATATTTTGCATAAATGGTGGAGCAAGCAATAATTGGTAATATGTAGTCCAATAACATTTTGTGATCAATGTAGTGAAGTCACCTAATGGGATAAGGTTTTTGTTGTGGGTGGCGGTGGTGGTCGAACAAGACTAAAGAAACTGGTGTCTTGGGGTACCCACTTGTGCAGGAAGATGGAGCTAAATCCGTGGAAAGGAAGTGGCCTTTTTCCTAAATTTGTGTAGATAATCTGTTTCAATGTTCAATGAAAGACTATATTCAAAGACACAGACTATGGCTATGATGGACCTGGTATTTTATCAGGATCGTTGACATGGACCAGGGATGGTGACTTGGTTTGGTAGACCTGAATTTTAGACTGACGAGTTTTATGGGACTTATTATGGATGCCATGTAGGGGTTTGTTATAAACTATTGTTGGTAATATATATAACGTAGATATAGATTGCAGATGATCGGATGCTAATAGAGCACTAAGCTAGTGAAATTCTGACGGAGTGATACAAATTCTGTGGTACTTCTGTTTAATTGAGTATTAAATGTGATGAAGAAAAAGTGTTTAGATGACTTGTTTTCCACATGACACAAGTTTGAAAAGTTGATTTATAATTAAGTCGATATTATTTTCCTTGTGCTTTAGGACTTCATGGTCCAGAAACGTAAACAGGCTGATTAGTACCCGTTGACTTTCCTTGGTGATTAATCTTTTATGTTGCTAAGGAAAAAAAAAAAACTCTAATTGTTCTTTCCTATCATTTTTATAAAAAAATGAGTAATTATGTTCAGTAAAAAATAGTTAAATATCATAATTTGATATTTTTTTTTTTTAAATCATAGTATTAAATAGTCAAATTTTATTAATAAAATAAATATTTATTACATAAAAATATAAAAGTATAATTATACTCTTTTTCAGACAAAATCTTAACATTTTAAATACTTAACACGAGTCCTAATAAAATCATAAAAAAAACTCTTTATTTTATATTAAATATGATTTTATCACTTCAAATTTTTTAAAATTAATTTTCATCTTAAAATATAAAAAAAATAATTTTTATATATTTATTAAGGCAGAGCTTACCAATGAATCATATAATAAATATTCTTATTTATTAGGAGTAGAGCTAACCAATGAATTGTATAATAACTCTAAAATTACTTTTGGAATAATTCTTACTAACCAACTACTACAATAACTCAACACTTTTAATAAGAATGTGATATATAATAATGTTTAAGTAAAAAATATAAATATAACAATGCAATGCATTTCTAACATTAGAAGAAATAATATTAAAAAATTACTATTTATTAAATTTTATTATATGCCCTTTAAGTTAGATAAATAATTTTAGTAAGGTAACATTAACTAATATCCATAAAGCGTTATTTAAGAAATTAAAAGCAATTTTTTATTAAAAAGTATAATAATACCTTTCCTTCTTTCTTTTCAATGTACTCCCAAATTTTTTTTTAATATTATTTATTGATTAGTTTTTTTTATCATTTCCTCGAAAGTATGTATTGGCAATATATTTATTTATTATTTTATTATAATAGTTCTTAAAGTTAATTATTTTTTTTAAAATATGAACATTACTATTAAGTGACAATTATATCAAACAAATCAAAAAAAGAACAAACTAAAAAATTTATTAAAAATTTATTTGTTATACTTTTATATTTTTAATATAATAAATGTTTTTTTATAAAAATATTAATTTTGTATAGCTAAAATTAAATTTAAGAATTAAAAAAATTTTAAAAATATTTTAGTGAGCTGCACCTTTAGATATATTTTAAAAATTGATGGTTATAATTTAATAACATATATATATATATATATATATATATATATATATTAAAAATAAGTACACATTAACAGGCATAAAATACTATATTATATCTTCCCTTAATTTTAATTAATTTTTTTTATCAAACTATATAATTGATGTAGTTTTAGATAGTCATATATATATATATAAACAAATTCATTTATTATATGTATAAAAGGAAGGTCTCTCTTAAAGATACCAACCAAACAATACAAGAAGGTGAGGGAGAGAGAGAAGCGTGTGGGAGATTGATTTGGATATAGAGGGACAGAAGCCCAACTGCTTGTATCTAATTATGACAACACTTGATGAGGGAATGAACTACTCTACTACGTATGAATCATTATTATTATTTACCAATTTTAATTTATAAATGCTTAAATAATATTACCTCATTAATTATAATTATTAAGTTGAAACAAAAAGCTGGTCAAGGTATGCTTAGTTCCAAAAATTATTAAAGTAGAAAATCGGACCAAAATTGATGAAAAATTAGATTGAACCGGTCAATTCATAGCTTTATTTTTAATTTTTTAAACGTTTTAAATAAATAAAGAATCATATATTTTTCATAATTTAAAATTATAATTAATTTAATTTTTATAATTTTATATTAATTTATTATTTAATATATTATACAACATTTAAATATATCTTTTATTATCATCGTTTTGATCCTCATTCAATCACAGTTAAATTATCGTAAATCAGTATTCAATAAACGATTTAATTTTAAAAGATTTTTTAACTACAACTTTTAAATTTAAATGCTTAAAAATAATACACGTATTACATTGAAATTATAACTTTTTGTGAAATCTTTCTAAAATTAATTATTTGAACTCAACTTTAACATTTTTCAACTTTAAATACATTAGTATTAATATTTATTTAAAATAAATGCTAGCAATAAAGTTTTAACACACTTTTCACCTTTTATTAAAATTTAATGAAAACTAAAAAAAGTATGAAAAAAAATAATTAATTTAAGATTATAAAAATTTTCAATAAATTTTAGATTGAGCGCGACGGAGAGAAGGTAATACTAGCTGTAGTCTTCATTTAGTATCCCACATCTCTCTGGTACGTCTTTCCTTTTATCATATCACATTACTTAAGACATAATGTTTATTTATTTTGTCTTTGTATTTTGACTGTATATGAACCACTGTACGTTATTTATTAATAATGGGGTGTGTAGGACAGAGCAGCGTGGAACGAAGGAAGAAGAAAAGAGCAGAAAGTGGAAGCTTATAAGTCAGTCTCACCCTTCACAATCCCAATCCCAATCCCATAACCACTTTCACATTACACATTCACATGACAAGCTACCGTGTCTGCGTCTGTTTCCACCGCAGGTTCAAAGTGGCCGAGGCAGCGCCGCCACAGGACGTGCGGGACCTCTTCCTCAGCTACTCCGATGGTGGGTCCCACATCACCCCCGACCAGCTCAGCCGCTTCCTCTCTGAGGTTCAGGGCGAAGACCACCACCTCGTTGACCCGCAGAAGGTGGTGGAGGCAGTAGTGCAGAAGCGCCACCACATTACTAAGTTCGGCAGACACAATCTCTCTCTCGACGATTTTCATCACTACCTCTTCTGCCCTGACCTCAATCCCCCCATTGGATCTCAGGTTTTCATTCTTGTTCTCTCACTTCAATCTTCAAATCGAACACTTTAACTTCTTCCATCCATTGGATCTACTACCTTTTTCCTTCTTTTCTAAGAACCATCTCAACTACCTTTGTTTTTTTTTCTCTTCCTTTTTGTCTGGCTTCGCCAATTTTTTTCCCTTTAATAAAATGATTCTTTTTTTAACGTTTGTAAGAATACATGACAAAAATTTTCAAGTATAATAATTTTTATTAAAAATTATAAAATGAATCTTGTTAATGGCTGCCTTAAAGAATTAAAAGTAATTTTTTAAAGAAATACATTTGATCACATTTTAAATAATAGAGAAGAGGTTTATTAATTATATTTTTTAAAATTATTTTTAATTCTTTAATCAATGTCCTTAGGATTTGTTTTATAAAATTTAATACATTAATAATATGAAATATTATAAATTTTAATAAAAAAACCATTTATTAATTTTTTATTTTATGTCTTTTGACGCGGGCTAAAAAAAAGTGTTTATAAAATATCTGATATCAGTTAAGAATATATAAAAAATAATTTTCTTTATGAAGATAGAATCAATTTTTGAATTAATTGTACTTCAGGTTAATCAGGATATGACGGCTCCACTGTCCCATTATTTCATATACACTGGCCATAACTCATATCTCACTGGCAATCAACTGAGCAGTGATTGCAGTGATGTTCCCATTATAAAAGCTTTGCACAGAGGTGTGAGAGTGGTGGAGCTTGATATATGGCCCAATTCCACTAAGGATGATGTTCTTGTTTTACATGGAAGGTATTAAAATCTTGTACTCTTCAAAACATTGCAAAATAACTATCTTATGCATGTTTTCTCTTTTTTAAAATTATAGTTTCTACAAGTTTCCTAAGTATCTGTTCACCTGTGAATGTAGGACATTGACAACTCCTGTGGAGCTCCTTAAATGTTTGAAATCCATTAAGGAACATGCTTTCACTGCATCTCCCTATCCAGTCATTATAACCCTGGAAGACCATCTTACACCAGACCTTCAAGCTAAAGTTGCTAAGGTTATTTGTTAATCTGGGAAGAATAAATCACTGTTCACAAAAATTTGGTATTAAATATTGGTGTTGTTTTTATATTAGATGATTACTGAAACATTTGGAGATATGCTGTTTTGTCCGGATCATGAAAGTGTAGAAGTTTTTCCTTCACCTGAAGATTTGAAGTATCGGATCATGATATCAACAAAGCCTCCAAAAGAGTATCTAAAATCTGAAAGTGTGAAGGATAATTCCACAAAATTAGTGAAATCAAAGGATTCTGATGAAGATGATTGGGGAAAGGAGGTCACCGAAGTTGCAAAAGCTCAAAATGAAGATGATATAGTGAGCTAACAATTGCACTTTACAGCAGCCTCTATTTTTTAAAGTTTCTGGGGCTATTTTCTTGTGTTCTATTTTATTGCATGGTGACTTTGACACAAATGGACAGGGTGATGATGATGAGTCAAATGATGATGAATCTGAAACAACCCAGCAGAGTGATTATAAGCATCTAATTGCTATCCATGCTGGGAAACCCAAAGGTAGTCTGAAAGAAGCACTAAAAGTTGATGATAAAGTTAGACGCCTTAGCTTAAGTGAACAAGCCCTTGAAAAGGCTACTGAGTCCCTTGGAACTGATCTTGTTAGGTAATAATACCCGGTTTCTTATCAAAATACTAGATATGCTATTCTACCATAAGTATGCCAATGATTTCTACTTCTCTTGTGCTTTTCTAAAAACTTTTAACAATCTGATTGTACTGCTTTTAATTTGGTATTATAGATTCACGCAGAAAAACTTTTTGAGGGTGTATCCCAAGGGTACACGGTTCAACTCCTCCAACTACAAGCCACTGATTGGCTGGATGCATGGTGCTCAAATGGTTGCTTTCAATATGCAGGTTTTACATTTCTGTTTCACTTCTCCCCTTTATTCTGAAGGCAGCATATTGATTGCTTTTATAGTGTTGTCCTAATTACACTTTTCAATATTAATTTTTGGTTGCTTGTGAGTGCTGAATATTTCTAGTTATTTTTCTGTGACGAGCATAATGACCACAGTATGGTGCCGAAGGTTGCAAAATTGATGATTTAAAGTTTCTTAAAATTTGAATATATAAAAGTTACAATTCATTCTCAATTTACCACAACATTATTATGATGCATATGATTAGGAGTTAAATTTCTGTTGAGTGATCAACGCTTCTTCTTTCATCTTGATTCATTCTTCTTTAGGATTTAAATTTCTGTTAATTTTTCAAACGTCAGACCGTATGTCTTTGTTCCAATGGCAGGGATATGGCAGAAAACTTTGGTTGATGCATGGAATGTTTAGATCCAATGGGGGATGTGGTTATGTCAAAAAGCCAGACTTTCTTATCAGTGTAGGTCCAAATAATGAAGTATTCAATCCTAAAGATGAGCTGCAAGTGAAGAAGACTCTAAAGGTGAAGATATTTTCTAAATGAAAGAATTAGCAAATGTGTATTTATTTTTCTTACATGATATCTAATTTAATCTCATGGGATAGGTAAAAATATATGTGGGAGATGGATGGCGTATGGATTTCAAACAGACTCACTTCGACTTGTATTCTCCACCAGATTTTTATGTCAGGGTAAAAAGAATTATAATTATCCTCTACTTATAACGCAACTCCTTATAAATTATATTTGTATCCTTTATTATTTCATGAATCATGACAATGTTGATTTGTTGTTTGTGTTAACTTTTCTAAGTTTCAATCTTTTCCCAGTTGAAGCTTAGACAACTTTGATTCATCAGGAAAAAAATTTCTCTGCAATGCCAGTAGTGGGGATCTAATATTAATATTTAATACTTATTTTTTTTTTTACTTATTGCATGAGCTTATAAGTCAATTTCTGAGGCAGGTTGGTATAGCTGGAGTGCCAGCTGATGTGACAATGAAGAAAACAAAGATAATAGAAGATAATTGGATACCTGTTTGGGAAGAAGAATTCACCTTCCCTTTAACTGTCCCTGAACTTGCTTTGCTCAGAGTGGAAGTACATGAATATGACATATCTGAGGCAGATGATTTTGCAGGCCAAACTTGTTTACCCGTTGCTGAACTGAAGCAAGGGATTCGTGCTGTTCCACTTTACGACCGCAAAGGAGAGAAGTTCAAGTCAGTTAGGCTTGTTATGCGATTTGAGTTTATTTAATTAAGCTGTTCTTTTCTGTGTTTGGGCATATTTTTTGCTGTAAAAAAGAATAATACAACTTGCTTTTGCCTTTGTTTTTTCTACTGGTTTTAACCAGACGGATTCAAATTTCAAAAGATGAATGATGTATATGTTCCTTAACTTGTTTATTTGATTATGTAACGTAAACAGGAAATAGTGTTAGGATTCTGGATGACACCATTTGTTCTCTCAAAACCTTAAGTAGCCAAAATCAAAATCTTAGGCAGTAGGCACTAAGATCTTGGTCACTTTACTTGTAAAATTTTCACCTGGTGTATTCCTTTTCAATGTGAGATTTATTTTATGCATACATCCAAATGGAACTTCGACACGAAACGCTCTTCATATGTTTTAAGGATGTCGTCTTAGAGACTTCTAGATATTCATATCTTTAAGGAATCAAGGCTTATAACATTTCAAGCCAATCTCTTAAAGGGACTACAATTTTTATTTTATTTTTTTCTAATTATTCTAACAAAAGACAATGAGAAATTAAGAAATAGTATTTTTGTAATTAAAAATTATATAATATTTAATATTATTAACGTAATATTTTATAAATCTTAATAAAAATTTACTATACATTAATATTGTACAACTTTGAGCATATATTAAAAAATTTATTTTTTTAATACTACTTTCGTTCTTATTCATATATTGTTGATTAAGTATAGAGAGAGAGAAAAAGAATTTTATTTCTATTTATTTAATCACTTAAAATTTTAAACTAATATTTATTTTTCTTCAACTAATGTCATTCTGTTCATTTGAAATATTTATACTATTTAATGTTTTAAAAGAAAAAAAACCTAATCAATAAATAATGTATAAGTTTAGTATTTAATTCAACAAAATGATTAAATTCGTTAGTGCGTATAATTTTTTTTCTCTCCAAATAGATAATAGGACCATAGTTAATATTTAACTTATTAACATTGTTATTGTAAAGATCTACTACGCGTGCAATTTTATAATTATGCATGAAACATATATTTGCATGTAATGCTTCTTTTGAAATTTTAAGGCCCATAAAAATATCAAAGAAATGATATTCCTAAAAAAATCAGCTTACAATAATTTATACAAAAGCATAAAAAGATAAAATAATATAACTTTTAACATGCATTTTTTAATTAATAAAATAAATGATGACATAGTTCTTTTGTATGAATTGTTGTAAAATTTTTTTGTTAAAATATCACATCTCAAGAGATCAAAACGATGCATAGAAGAAACAGAGTTTCACACTGTGGAATTGGTACCAGCTTGTTAAGTTTGTATATGTGACATACCTTTTCTCTCCTTTATACTGAATTATTTTTCTTCTAAAAGAGCTTTACCTACACATCACAGTGAATATTCCTAACGTTTAGTTGATCGTAATTCAGTGCTACTTTAATTTCTTGGGAAAAACTAATGCTCTTGGTAGGGTCTGAGATGAGTTATCTGGAGAATGGAGATGTTTCTTATTGAAATGTGTCATCAAAGAAAACACAATGCACGACTTAAAGCAATCTCTTTCTTCGTTACACCCATAAAATTTACTTTCTCAATCAGAATGATTTGTGCTGAGCTGAGCCCAACCGAACCCACAGTGCAGACGCGGCAGGTTGAACCATGAGAGAAGCAACTCTCACTCCCGTGACTACCGGAATCCGTATAAAATTTACTGGTTTTAAAATTTAAAAATAAAATTTATATTATTTAATGATATAATTATAACAATAATTTATCAAATATAATAAAATTTAAATAAAATACCTTTTATTTTTTTATTTATATATTTGTTTATTCAACTAAATTTATATTGTACATTCATTTATGATTATAATATAAAATTATTAATAAAATTTTTACTTTATAATTATTAAAGAATGAGATAATATTTTTAAAATAGATAACTCGTCATACTAATAATTGTAAGAAGTAAAAATTACATTAACTAAGTTGAAAACAAAAGTAAAAAGTGTATTTATTTTAGTGATGTATGAAATTTTAAAAGTATGATTTCAATATATCAATATATAAAAATATATGCTAATACTTAAAAATAAAAATATATCAAATTTTTATTGTTATAGATATTTACAACATTCCATTTTTTATGCGGTTAACTTCATCTTAAGTTGGAGGAAAAACTCTTACTTAAATACAATTTCATAATCTAGGACCAAAAAATTAAGATTACTTTTTGCTTGCTTAATTATGGCATCCTGTACATTCATAGGCCTCCTGAGAAGGGATATTGGCCAAACTTGAACTAGGCTTTGCTTGGTTGATCTGGGATTAGGCAGGTGAGTCTATTAAGTTCAAGCTCTTGAATTGATGGGGGTTAGCCTTTTACCTAATTCATAGATTCTTTAGTTTTACAACTAGGTGCGACTTCGTATGTCCTTAAGCTTTCATCAGCTTACTTTTCACATGTTACCAACTTTCATTCTATATTACATTTCTCTTGTAGATGTTGACTGATCTGCAATAGATATTTTTTAATAATGATTCTTATTCTGACAAGATGAAAGATAGTCATGAAGCTAACATGGCTTTCAACTAATTCTGTAGAATTATGATAATGCATTCAAATCTATTGCTTCATCATCTTGGGGGTTTGCTTACTCCAAATTGAAAATATTTATGATACAGTTTTTAATGTGTTCTGTAATTCTTGGATTCTTTTGAGTCAGATATCAAGTGAATGATCACATTGGACTCTATGGCTATAATTGCTCAATATCTCACACTAGATATATAGCCACTGATAGTTCCATTTAGTGAGATTGAAGTTTACATGCTCCTGGAACGAAATCTATTTATGGTTCATGTCGTAATCATCCCTGTCAGAGAACATTAGGGCCGCCACATAATTATCTTCATGCCATCCGCAATTCAGCTTGAAACTGAAGGCTGCTTTATCAGCTCTGAATCCATAACAGAGGTTCTATTTTAGACTTTTATGCTTGTCCTTGAGAAAAAAAAAAACACTGCGAAACATATAAACTATGAGTTTTTGCCTAATTGAAGCAGTCTTCATTTCTAAATACTATACACACTACTATTCCATTCCAAGCATTCTTATCTCCTCTGCTCTATTATTGATCCTGCACATAAATGTTTCACTTAATAACTCCCCATCATTTTTTTTTCGTGGAACTCTTCCTGTCAGATTTGACCAACAAAGCATCAAAAAAAGATTTGATTCAACAATATATCACCAATTATAATGGCTTCTTCAATTGACAAACAAATATTGACTTTTACTATATAAATATATATATTTCCTCCGATTTTTTTAATGTCTAGTTTTAAATGTACACTTGAATTAAATGCACACTTTGAAATTGAACATTTAATTTAGACTGATGGGAGTACTTAATTTGATCTCTGTTACTTCTATTCTTCTTTGATAACTTACTTTTATTGCAACTTCATCGTCGTCATTAATATAAAAATTGTTCACTCCTTTTATGATAAATTTGTTACTACCACAATGTGCAGCCTGCAGTTCCATTTCAGATTCGCTTAAACGCGGGGTAGCTATGTTTGAGTTTTTCTTTGTTGAGCTTCAGGTCCATCTTACCCAAAAAGAAACTGACAGGCAAATTTGATAATAATATTATTATCACATTCGAGTTTCTTATTTTATAAAATGTAATATTATTATCCAATTTCAAACTACCACAATTCCAAATATACCGATAGATCAATTTGCCCCTTTACTTTTCATGGGGAAAAAAGTGTAAATGACATTCAATTCAATTAAGTTAAAAATGGAAATTGTCCACTAATTTTCTTGTGTTCATGCTCTGAAGTTATGGAAAAAGGATGGTACATGGCATAAGGATGATGCTTCTATAACCAGATCACTGTTTTGACTCTGGTCCATGATCAGGAACAAGTGAAGCAATTTCATTTTGTATGGTTCTCATACTCAAGTTCTTTTCCTTTTGCTTGATCTACTGTTGGGGTTGCCTTCACCCTGCTTTTTGTCTTTCTTATGGCTTCCCTTGGGTGGGACAACATTCTTACTGGATCTCACACTAATAAGTCCACCTGTGGGTATTTTTCCACCATTATTTTCTATAATATTCTTAAGACCAGATTCTCCATCTTGAATGGCATACTGCTGGAGCATTTCAGGAGCAAAGACTGCTTCTTGTTTTGACTTCATATCATCCTACCCAGTAAATCAATTCAATTTAAGAGCTACTACAAACGGGAGATGGAAACAAGGAAGCATGATAATCAAGCTAAGAATATTCAACATGAGAAAGCAAATGAGGAAGGTGCATACCTCAACTTGTTTAGCTGCATTGTTCAGATCTTCGTCCACAGAGATGCTATGAGGTTTCAAAACAATCTAGGGACAAAAGCAGATGAAAAGTAAAAAGAGTAGGAGCAACATTAATGAGTGATCCAAGGTATTGAATACACAAGTCAGTGCACATAACTGCACATTCGTCTGAGGAGTTCACTAACCACTGAAACTTTGTCATGAATTCTAGTGAAAGTAGCAAGATATTGAATACACAAGGTAACATTATCAACAAACTTACTTCTTTCAGTCGAGGCAAGGTTGATTCAATCTCCTTGGATGCAAGGCCATACAGATATTTGTAGAACTTCTTCATTACCTTTATAAATAAAGACAATATTTGTTGCCTTTCCAACTTCAGTTGTCCCTGTTAAATGAAGGGCACATAAAGAACGTGATTCCAACTTTTGAAAAAGGCACCAATGGCAAAAGACATCAAACATGAAAACCACATTTATTCATGCCAAAAATTAGGTAGGCAGACAACAGTCTATTAAAATCAACAACAGAGCCCTATTAAAATCAAATGATGAATTTTTTAGTGGCTCATTAATTTGTTATGAGGATGTGTATCATGATAAACTGACTAATTACATGACAAAAGAAGGATAAAGATAATCTACATCTAAAGTGTATCTAGGGATAGGATTCAAGCCAAGGACTAATATTCCTTAGCCATTAGGTGCTTGCCTGTCATCCGAGTGTGATATTTTCAACCAAACAAGTCAGTAAGTAGATAAACAAACCTCAATGTATGAAATGCCCTGATTCTGCAAACCAATGCACAGTAATACAGAAGCCTGAGCATATGACAGTGTAACTGGAAGCTTTTCTTGGAAGTACAGATGTGTAAGGGTGGGAACAATATCTAAAATCTGTCAAATAAAAAGGGTCAATAACATACTTTGAAGGACCCCAAGTCACACAGGTTTTCAAATTATTTATATGAATGAACTACGCTTGGCAGTTGGCACAATAAATTGATTATATCCAAAATTAAGTAGTATGTGTTATGGCGCACTAAGTTTGGTGTTTCCATGAGGCGGCCTCCTTGAATCTCCCAATCATTTCTCATTCATTTCTATAAGCATCATGTAACCCTCCCTTCAGCTTCCTTTAAGGTGTTTTACCATGCATGCACGGGCACACAAGATGTAATTCTAATACAGAAAAGATAATTACCAATGCAAGGGAAAGTTCTTTGTTTTGTGCTTCGGAAGGCGGAATCATTTTCAATCACCAAACAAAGAATTGGACATATCTGAGATCTTACCAGATGGAAGTCAGCCAGATTGTCAACATAAGCCTCTAGTCGCTTCATATCATGTGGTGATAAATATTCTCTAACTGGGCCCAAACATTTATCAGAATTGATCTTCCCAGGTTCTTGGTCCATGAAATTGATTTTTGGATCTATTATGCTGGATAAATCACCACAATAAGCATTTCAATAATGGAGATAAATATGAGGGATGAAGAACCCACAAGTTCAAGAAGCTTTAATTTTAATTGATGAGTATGCTATTCAACTGCCTGGATCACTCAACTAATTTTAATTTCTAAGATCAAAAGAAACATCGCTTTCTATAATAAATTAAAAAATGACAGATGCAAGGGCAGCTGTGGCATCTTGTACAAGGCATGTGGTCCTTTCTATTTTACAAAAATATTTTATTTAATAAATAAAAAAAAGGCACTTCCCATTGCATTTGAAACAGATTATCTGAGTCAAATAGCAGATAAGATAAAAGTTTTCTAGCACTTCCCATTGCATTTGAAACAAAAATATTTTATTTTATTTTATATTTTTTTTAAAACAATCAACATCAGTATAGCACAGAGAATGGAAAATTCTTAACTTCCTAACACTAACCTCAAAGCAAGCTTGTATTCCATGCCACGAAAAGTGGAAGCCAAAAGTCCAGCAAATCTTTTCTTGAAATCTGAAAGTAGTGAACAAATCATAAAAAAAAACAGTTAATTATAAATATTGAACACAAATCATATAGCAAAGTGTCATGAAGCTGAAGCTGTTGAATAGAGACACCTGCGAAATGTTCCCACCTTCATAAAATGGACCAAAAAAGTCCCATTGATTTGATCCATCAACTTCAATTTCATCATTGTTCAAAGGTTTCAGGACCATGCATGTATGCTCACCAGTCACAGCATTCTGTTAAGTAAGCAAAATGTTATTTGTAAAATTAAATTCAGTATTATTGTCTACAGCCTAAGAAAAACTAAATCTTAACTGGAATCTGGCCAATGTAGAAAGGAGCAAAATTATGCTTTCTCCAAAAGCGAAAAAGCTCCAAGGTTAGGCCAAATGAGACACCAATGTAATGGAGCTTCTCTGGGCGTCTTTCACGCAGATGTACTAGCAAATGAGGAAGATCCGTTCGAGGTTTTATATTTTCTTCAAGTAATGAAACCTGTATTCATTGTATTATTAAAAAGGCTAAGCATACACTGGAAACACACACAGAAATTGATAGACTTAAAAGCAAAAACAGTAACAAATGAAATAAAGTTTGTCATTTTTGCTCAAATTGTTACCTTCACTGTATGTTTGAACTCAGTTATCTAACACCATCTTAATGCTTATAGGAAACAGTAAGGCTAGGAGACATAAGCAAGGACCTAATTGCAAGTACTTAATAAAGACACTTTCTTCACTATCTCCCAATTATGAAATGCTTTCTTCAACAATATCCAAAATACAAGTATCAGCAAGTAATTGAAACTGACGTACCAGTGCCTATCAGCTAGACTATAGAAAGATTCCTAGATAGCTCCTATACCAATATGACATAATATATTTATAAAGAAATGAACAGAATTACTCTGAACATATCAGAATTCACTAGTAACATACCTTCTCTGCAGCTTCTGTAACTCTAACTTGTGGAGCTACTACTTCAACTTCAACTTCAACATCGATCTCAGAGATAGGAGTAAGTTGTCCTTCATAGTAACTGCAGAAAGTAGGCCATGTAAGTGATCAATTGATGGTGATCTAAATTTAAAAGTTTGACATTTTCTGTTTAAGGCTAAAATCAGCACCGCATTTAAGCATCTTCTTAAGCAGAGTATCTAAGAAATGGATGATTCCAAAACAAGCTAAATAACTTCCTGACAGGCCCATGTCCAGAACTGGCTATTTAATGCAATTCCATATATAATTTATATTATTTTTATAAGATTACTAACGTAAGTTATTAACTGAAAATTTATAAATCATAATTGGATATAAAATAGATATGAAATTCTATGTGAAAATTTAAGGATTCTTCTAGCATATTTACATTTTAGTTTTGACATACAGATTATGATTTAACAAATAAACTGAATTTGAATATTTTAAAAATATATTTAATATACCGATATTAAATTATAATTTAACATAATTAACAATTATAAACTAATATTCATTCTAAAATAAACCATTTAAAACAAGTCAAAATATATAATTAAGTATGAAAAACCTAAATATATTCAACACAATAAATCATTAGATACTCTGTAATTTCTCATAGGTGGGTTGGGTTGGGTTATGTGGGACGAAAATGTTCAAACCCACAACCTACCCACCTATCGTGGGCTAGATTTTTCAACCCAACCCAACCCAACCACATTCAACCCACCAAGGGGGCCACCCCTAATGGCTTTCAAAGCAAGATAGCAATCAGGTTCTCACCGTGTTAAAAGCTCAACTGCTTGCGAGCCATACCCAAGCTGAAAAAGAAAGAAGATGAAACGTAAGAGAGGTGTCACTACTTTGGATAAATCAGGTTAGTAACAGAACCATATGCCTGACAACAGATGTTACCCTCATGGCACTTGGGTGTGTGGCAATGCGCACAATGCGAGCGCCTGAAAGTGAGGGGAAAACTGTATCTCTAAATTGCTCACAGAATTTCCAAGGAATTTGATCCCCAAAAGGTTGGTGACCATGGCTCAAGCTTTTGATTGCTGATTGGCTAGATATCTGCCCCTCAAGACAGACCTATAAGCTATGGAATGTTAGAAGTCACACAAAATGAAACGCATGCTAGACAGCAAATAGGAGATAAACATAACCCAAGTACAACTATCAATGGAAAGAACCCTAAAAGTATCAGCATATAGAAAATTTCATATGAATATACGTGTATCCTGCATTTCCATGCTATGACATGTTTGTTGCTTCACAATTTTTTGCATCATAATCAAGCAAGGATAACAAAGCTTATGGCGGTCAAATGAAACTTCACACAATACATTGGCATTTGAACTTCATAGTTCATACATTAGTTTCAGCAATAACATGTGATATAGCGAGAGGCAAAGAGCGGATGAGGTGGCGAGAATTGCAGATATTAAGCTGATGGCCAAACCGACCATGGCCAGAGGCAAAGAGTGGATGACAAGGAGAGAAATGAGATATAAGATTATGTCAAAATAGACCATGTGCAGAAATCTAACAGAAAAAATAGGATGGTTTATACGAAAGATGCCAACCTGGATGACACACAAAATCTCAGGAAGTCGATTACTTGATTCATCAACAGGTCCTGTAATTCAAATAGCATTATAGATCTGGTTCAAGCCATGCCAATTTAAACAAAGGAGGGAAAAGGAAGAAAAATAACTAGAAAGGAAATCAACTCTACCAAGTAATACAAATAAGTGGTGAGCTGGAGCATCTGCCATCAGCTGCAGATCGTTTGGAGAATTTTTGTAATGTGAAGCAACATATAAGGCCATCATTTGCTGCAAGAATACTAATATTTTAGTACAGCATATAAATACATGTATAATCAACTAGAATTCAAGCCAAAATCATCAGATAAATCTGGTATTACCTGCAAAAATAATTCACTATCTTTATGGCAGGAAAAGAGGGTGTCCCGATTAACATAGTATAGATCACACTCACTGGGTGGAGGTAACCTGATTGCAGAACAAAGAACCTTAAACTGAGATAAACAAAAATGGTCTCATCTTACAAGGTGATATGATACACACTGCATCTAACCTGCTAAGATTAGGGATGACATTTGAAACGTCTAAGCATAGTAGAGTGTTAATCCAGCGCTCTATGGGATCCCCAGAACCATATCTGATGGACTCGTTGAGTTCTATTTTCTTAAATAGACGGCCTGAAAGATAGAACTCAAAATCCATCGATAATAAGCATGATATGTAGCACTGGCATCGACACGGAAACAGACAAGCAGACACACCAAATCTTTAAACTGATAGGGCAAGGACACGACATATAAACGTATATATATTCAATATTTATATGGTTTTCAAGTAATTAGAAATGCCAAACTATTAATATTAACTACTTTCTAGGCATTTCTCATGAAATATCATTAATATTAACATCTCATAACCATGTTCATACAGACCCAAGATGTGTTTGGAGTATCTTCTGACTAATAAGGGAAAAAAAATATTCGGTCAAAAACGGATATATGTGTGGCATGTGCCATTTGGGTGTGTTTTGAGTGTCAGACACTGACACGGGTCGGACCTGTGGACACGTCACTAAATTGGTGTGTCCATGCAACATAAAGCAGGATCCTAAATAAAATAATAAATAAATAAATAAGTACACAACAATCCGTAACAATCACTGAAAACCAACCATTTCAATGTCCTAATCTAGCTACTTCAACTGCATTGCCGTTCTCAGAATCACATGACATGCATATTATATATTCAACTTGACTAATAAAAGGTAGAAGTATTATGTACCAGAACCAGTGCCCTCTGCGATCTTAGCAGATGCATGGCTTTGGTCTTCCAATTGCTGCAGAAGTTTAAGCGATAAAGAGCGCCCAGTACCTTCGTAACTTTCCAAGAGATAAAAAGAAAAATAAGTTTACTCAGTAATCAAGTAACGTCAGAAGTTGTCTCCTTAAATGAGATATATAACAAACTTCATCAAAGAGAGAAAGGACCCAGCCAATAATTCAAAAGGCTTGGGGCTTGTTTGGAAGTGTTTTCTAGTTTGTATTTTCTGAAACAAATTTCAACTCCAATTTTCAGAAACAAGAAGCAAAAAGTTCTGTTTGAGTAATTAGTTCCCAGAACCAGTTTCCAAAATAATAAAACAAGAAACTGTTTGACATAAGACAACACCCTTCCCCTTCCTTTTTTTTACTTCTCCACCTCCTTCTAACTCTCCCTCTCCCTCTCCCTCTCCCAAGTTAGACCAGTTTTCTCCAGGTCCGGTCGTGGATCTCGGCGGCCCAACTCCCTCACGGCTGCTGTCGCACACCCAAGAATCTGTTGCGGCGACGCTCCGTTGACGGTGGTAGTGATGGTTTTTTTGTTCTCTTGTTACACTTTGTTCTTTTTTATTGTTGCTAGAAAGAAGAGAAGGAACAAAAAGTTGAAGAAGAAGAAGAAAGAGAAGAGGAAATTGTTTGTGCCCTTGTGTAGCATGGTAGGTTCCCATAAAAAACCGAACTTGGTGATCCTTTCTGTTCTTTTATTTACTTATTTATTGATTTCTTAGGTTGTGCTTGTTGTTGGGTATAATTTGGAAGGATGGGGAGGGGGGGGGGAGAGTGGATCGGGGCAAATAGATCCTTGCAGGAATTGAGACATTTTTTAAGAGATGAGGGAATATTTTATATTTTTTTAATATGTAAAATAATTATATTATTAATTTTAATAGTAAAATTAGTAATATATTTATTAAAAAAAAAACATAAATATTCCTCAAGTTTAAAAATACCGTATCAATCACCTTGTTTTGGGGATAATGCAAGCAGAATCAAAGATACGGATGGGGGGGGGGAAAGGTCACAACCTTTTCACATTTGGTGGTTGTTGGTCGGTGAGTGGTTGAGAAAGAGAAAGGAGGGCGAAGAAAATATAGTAGGTGGGTTTCGAAGAATGTGTCAGCATTAGTAAACAATATATCTACAATAGTGCCACCGCCGTTTTCAGTGTTTCCGAAAACAGAAGAACCCAAAACATAACTTTTGGATTTTCTATTCTAAATAAACAAAATCTATTTTTTTTGTTTCCAAAATCAATGCCATGAAAACAGCCAGCTAAACATGTTTTTTTTTTCTATTTTCAAAAACAAAAAACTGTTTTTAAGTTATCAAATAGGCCCTTGATAATCCTTCATAAAAATCAGTCATACCCATTAACTGTGGATGACAGGAAGACCAGGAATGGCCCAAGCAAAGACTTTACAAGTGGCAGTGGAATCGCAGCTGCTTCATCAATAACCAATAATTCAACTTGCAAAAGCTTTTGATGCTCGTGCGGGAGTATATACTGAAACAATAAGATGAAAACAAGTCCAGAATCACATCTACATGTATCCTTACAGCAACAGTAAGTATCCTTGACATTCAAGACTTTTATTAATGCAGAAGCATATGCATTACCAATGAACTAACCTGAATTGTCTGTCTATGATGCTTGTAGATGTTAATCCTTACAGTAGCTTTCTTGAACTCAGGATTCGTGCTTTTCACCACATCATAATCAATATGTTCCTGTTAACAAAGGAAAGTGTAGCACTCTTTAACTCATATCTATTGTCACTTGTTTGATATATTAGTCTGCAAACTTTCCCTATTTCTCGTTGTTCCCTTCAATAACTCACTTTTTATTTCTAGGTACACTATAACATTTTGTTCATATCAAAACTTTCCTAGACAACCATCCGTCCACAAGTTGATATGTACTATTTGATTTAAATTGACCAAAGGAACCATCGCGAAATCAAATGCACATGGCCAGGAGACGTACTTACGATCCCAGCCAATTAACTAAATTTAACTGCCCATTTGCCATTCGAAGTTTCCGTAACTTAAGTTTCTCAATGAAACAATAATGATAATAGCTGTTAATTAATGAAGAGAAGAACATGTACCTTGTGCCCAAGTGCATCAAAACCTTGGCATATAAATTCAAACAAGGTTTTCAAGTTCTCTGGGCTGGGTGCAGTTACAAAGATATTTGAATACCTACATAGATAATCTTACAATGAGATCCAAACAAAACCGGAATAACTAACAGAAATAACCATATCAAGAATGTATGAAAAGCACAATACCCCACGGCAACTGCTCCAGCAATTGATAAACCAAGAGCAGCTGATTTCCCACGACCACGAGCAGCCAACAATGCAACAGTACTACGAAGTGTCTTGTCCAGAACTGCATCCAGAAAAGTGATGACAGCTTTTCCCTATTGCCAGAAACCAGATAAAGCTCATATCCATAATGCACGAAAACCAATTTTGTTTACGGTGGTAGTCAATGCAAAGTTGACAGATAAAAAACTCCTACCTGGTCCAACGTGCAACATTTCTTAATCAACGGCCCAACTGGGAAATCTTCATTCAGCTGTTCTTTAAGGTTTTTCAGCTCCTGTTGTGCTTCTGAGAGTCCCTCCAAGTCCTACAGCATCAATTCATAGGTAAAAAATCAAATGAAACTTTATTAAAATTTAAAATGAACTCTATGCTCGGAAGCCAAGAAAAGAACAAATATGCCTTCCAACAAGCATGCATTAAAACCCAAAATCATCCACAGTCCCCTCAAAAGAAAAATATAAAAGGAAACAGATAGTTAAAGATGATATCACAGTACCTCCGGAACTGGGGTAAGAGACCTAATGTGAGATGAAATCGGTAACACATTCATCTCATCATCCATGACCACACATGACTCGCAAGAAGCAAGTGATAATAAAAAGCGTTCATTAAAGCGCCCAACAGCTTCAGAGTGAGATTCAGTTCGGAATCTATAATGGACATCCTGCAATCAGTGAACAGAAAATTTGCATTTTATAAAACGTTTAACAGGAGAGTGTAGGTTATTGGTTGCAGAACAGCCACTCTGCATATGAAGAACTTTGGTAATGCCTCTTACATAACTATCTAGAGTTCAATGTCAGATGTATATAAATCATAGAAGGGAGTAAACTCTACTTAGCCAATATGTTCTTGCTCTGAATTTTAGTATTTTGCAGTTGTTCTTACAAGATACCTTAGCTGTTCTCTTGTGCTTCTTTAACTTGTTAGGTAATAATAGAGCATGTTTCTTAAAAAAATATAACCAATGAATAAATAGTTAAAGCTTAAAAAAATAAAGTTCATAAACATCAATTCTAATGAATCTACATTCATACCATCACCATGGTGTACAGACTGGTCAGTGAGGATAGAGAACGAAGCATCAAAACAATCAACCCTCCTCCTTCCACAGTCTCAATTGTTCTTGCTAGGAGATTAGGTGTCAACGCCTCGAAATCCTGAAAGGAAAGACAATGGAAAAATTGATGTCTCTCAGTTAAAAAAGGAAGAGGGAAGACACCTGAAAAAGAACAACAAAGTGAATTAATTAATAGCATGTGTCATATACCTGAAGTACACACATTCCAAAGGTATTCCCGAGAATTCTTTCGGAATCCTTATATAAACAATAAGTTAATCCCCCACTCTCTATAAACAACGAAAACGCATCAACTTTATCAGGATCCAAAAGACCTTCCCGCTTATATCTCTCTCTCTTAACCTGCTTGGCATGTTTCTTCTTATTACTGCATTCACAATCATCTTAATAAAGTTAATGTCAAAACCATAGTTGATCGTCCAGAACAACTCAAACAACACATACACAGCGTTAATGTCACAGTTAATCCCACAAAGAACAGACACGTGAATTATATATACAGAACCTGCTGAGTTCAAGTTTGGTCTTGTAACACCACAAAACAGTTGGCCTGGATTTGATTTGTGCCTTGCTAAGAATGTAATGAAGATTCACAATCTGCGCACGTTAGAGACAAACATTCAACAACATGGACCTATCACTGCAGTGCACTACACAAGATAATTCAACGGCGTGTGTGTGATAGAGACATACCTGGTAACGTGACTTGTCGCCGACGATGACGAACATGGACCTGTGCCTGCTTTTGACGCCATTCTCGATAAGAGTTCTAATTCGCTCGTCCACCTTCTTCCTCATCTCTTCCCTGTGGCGAAATTCAAGTTCTCTAATAAGTCACCAACTCTCAGAGAGAGAAAAAAGAAGGAACGAAAGAGAGATGATAGGAAGTGAAATCTGAACCTGGATTAGATGGACAGCGGATGTTGAACCGGAGACGGTGGCGAATAAGTAATGTGTATGGGAGTTGAATAACGCTGAGTGGCACAGCTTGAAGATGCTGCTGGTGTCGCGGGGTGAGGTTACCTGTAAAGGGACTCTTGACGCTCAAGTCAGAGAGTATTTGAGCAGTACAAAAAAGTGCCTTCTTGTTTGTTTGCCTGATATGGATACCTATTTATAATAAAGCTAATGGCTGCGGTTTTCAAATCAATTAATCTAATCTAATTATATAGATTGAATCAATCTATTTTATCTGTTTTGAAACTGATTTTAAACAGATATATTATATTATAAATTAATTATATTATCTAATAATTAATATAAAATTACATTTATATATTTTATATATTTATATTGTATTAAAAATTAATTTTTTTACCTTAAATCATTCATCCATTACACAAACTAAATAATAAATTATTCATTTTCTAATTAAAATAAAATAAAAAATATTAGTAATATAATTTTTACTTTTATTTATTTTTTAAAATCATCTTAGTCTCTCTTTTTATTTAATCTTATTCATTCTAGTATTCTGGTTCAAAATAAAGAATATATTTAAAACATTATTTTAATAAAAAATTGTTAACAAATATTTAAAAATATTATATTTTAAAAACATTAAATGTGTATTAAAGGGTGATTATAATTTTGTTGATTTGATTTGTTAAGTTTATTCCTTATCTCATCTATCATGTAAAATACTTTTTGGAAGGAGAAAAGAACAAACAGTTTTTATTTAACAAAATTAAATATTTAAAAATATTTTTTATTTATATTAATGTCAAATAAATTACTATTATAATAATATAATATTATGTAAAATATTTTTTAAAATGTTTTATATCTTTTTATTTAGTTTAATATATATATATATATATATATATATATTGTCTAAATTATATATTATTTTCACTAAAATCATATTTAGATGTTACATTGTTATTTATTGGAATTCAAACTAGATATCATAAAACAACATATATTACCTTAAAAAATAAAAATATATAACATGTTAATCAAACAACTAAAAATATAGAAAAAATAAAGATCTAAAATTATTTATTATGATGATTTAAATATTATTTTAATTTTTATATAATTTTTTTATTTTTAATTTATTATATATATAAAAATTATAAATAAAACTTAAAAATATTATTTTTAAAATAGTATTTCCTATTAATTTTACAATTATATTATTGTTATTACACAAATTTTATGCTGAAAATAAAATAATATTTAAATTGGTGTCCTGGCATGAAATTAGCCACAACCGAGAATCAAAGAATGCAAGAATTTGGCCGAAATTCTGATACCCTTAGTTGGTTTATTAATTTGGTTCGGTGGGATCTATTCATTGTAAAATAAAATCTACGCAGGGCAAAACTGGTTTTGCAAAAAGTAAATTTAGTTTTGTAAAATAAAATTTAAATAAAAATTTATTTTTTATTAATATAATTATTTATTATATTAAATTTATAAATTTAATATATTTTTTAATTTAAAATTATTATTTAAATTAGACTCATTAATTTTTTATTTTTTATTTTTTATCAAATTGAATAACATATTAAATATTACATTACATAGACAAAAACATCACACAAAAAATATATTTAAAGTAATAATCAAATTTTAAATACAATTATAGTTCTACGTCAAAATAGTTAAAATATATCTACTTATTATATTATATACTTTAAGTCAATTTTAAATATGTCATTTTAAAATAATAAGTCAATAATTTTATATGTAATCTATTAAATAACTTATGTTAATGTTTATATTGTGTTTAAATGGTTAGGTAACAATATAAGTTTATCTGAAAATTTGCATGAGATATTATTAAGTATGTATAAAATTTGATGTGAAAAAAGAAATAAAAAAATATTATAATAGTGTGATTTACAATAATATAGATAATTTATTTTCAGTAAAATAATATTTTCTTCAGTAACAGCGTTTTAAGTAGAATGTTTATCTTATTAGATATATTTTTTGAAGTAGCTAGTGGTAATATCTTTAAAAAATTTGATTGTGCATTTGAATTAGATTAATGATACTTTGATATGTATTTTTAATTTTTTTTAGAAATATAATGAATTAGAGTATTCTTGTATTCTTACTTTATCTTTAATAAAAGGTTTATTCTTAATAAAAAAATTATATTAATATTTGTTTTAATTTACCTAAGGTGTAAAAATTAAACTCTATTTAAACATACCATAATTTAGTTTATATCACATTTGCATCCATAGTAAATATCATATTTGATAGAAAGATAATTGTTGTTATATTTCTATCTATTAGTTTATACTTTTTTATGTATTTTAAAATTTTTATATATAATAGTTCTAGAAATTAACTTTTTTTATAATAATAAAAAAAGTTAATATACTTTCTTTTTTTACTTATTTTTATTTTAATATAATATTATTTTTCATTTAGTATTTTAAATTTATTTATTAAATTTTATTTAAATAATAAAATAATTAAATATAAAAAATTATGTTGTATGGATCATAAAATTAAAATAATAAATTTATTATTCTTTCTTATGCATTTTTATTATCATTTTTTAAAATATGATATTAATAAAAACATATATTTTCTTTTACTTATACTTAACCAATGTGTTCATTTCAATCTAGCATTTTAAATTTTAATTTCTATCTATTAATGAATAACTAAAGATAAAAAATATTAAAAATATCTATTATATTATTATTAATTTATATACATCATAGTTTTGTAAAATAATTTATTTCTTATAATAATAAAAAATAATATACTTTTTAAGTAGTAAATGAAATATTTTTTTAATGTCATTATTAAACTTATTTACACTGATCTCTAATATTTTCAAATTTTTTTCATATCATTATATAGTGTACACCTTTACAAGCTTTTTCTTATGTTATTTTTATTTAATTAATTTATAGAATTCAAGAAAAATTTCATGTAATAATATTAATATTCTAGATGTGCTGATATTTATTTATTTATCTTTTAAAATTTATTTTAATTATTAGTATGTAAAATTTAAAATAACATATTTTATAACTAATAATATGTATCACACAAAAAATAAATTAAAAATACACTTATTTATTTATTAGTATTATTTAAGATACAACTTATTATTATTTTTATTATATTAATTTATTGCTTCTGGAATTTTAAAATATTATTTTAATTTTATTATTATTAAATTAATAAATAGTTATTTAAAATAATTTCTTATTTTAAAATTAATTTACTTCACTATGTTAATAAAAAATGATATTATAGAATGTATATATTAGTATTAATATCTAAATTACAATGATATTTATTTATTTATTAAATATAATTTGATTAAGTACGGGACTTACCAATAAATCATATAATAAATATTTTTATTTATTAGTAGTGGAGCTAACCAATGAATTGTATAGTAGCTCTAAAATTACTTTTGAAATAATTTTTACTATGCACCTACTATAATAACTCAACACTTTTAATAAGAATGTGATCTATAATAAATTTTTATTAAAATCATGAATACAATATAATTCAATGCATTTATACCATTAAAAGATATAATATTCAATAAAAAGTACTATTTATTAACTTTTATTATATGCTATTGTACAAGTTAGAAAAATAATTTTAGTAAGGTAAAATTAACTAATATCCTTAAAACGTTATTTAAGAAAGCAAATTTTTTTTATTAAAAAGTACAATAATACCTTTCCTTCTTTCCTTTAAATGTACTCCCAATATTTTTGAAGATTATTTATTTATAAAATTTCTAAGAATTTCCTTTAAAATATGTATAGGCAATATTCTTTTGATAAAACTAATTTATTTTATTATAATAGTTAATAAATTTAATTCTTTTTTAAAAAATATGCACATTACTATTAAGTGACAATTATATTTAACAAATTAAAAAAATAACAAACTAAAAAACAGTACTCTCAATCTTTAAGGTTAAGTAACTAATAATTATAAAATTTTATTTATTATACTTTTATATTTTTAATATAACAAATATTTTTATAAAAAATATTAATTTTGTATAGCTAAATTAACTTTAATAATTATTTTTTAAAAAAAATAATGAGCTTACACCTTTGGATATATTTAAAAAATTTATAGTTATAATTTATTATTATATTTTAAAAAAAAAAAATATGCATTAACAGCCATAAATACTATTATACATTCTTTACTTTTTAATAAAAAATATAACAAACTATATAATTGATCTATTTTTAAGATGGTCATATATATAAACAAATTTATTTAAATAACTTTAAAATATCTTTAATATATTCTTATTACTTATAATTTTAATTTTTTTATTTTAATACCTAACATTTAAAAAAATTTGAAATTTGTACCTGTTGTAAATATAAAAAACAGAATATAATCCCTATTAAATTCTAAATAAAATTCCTATAGAAATTCTGTCACGAAAAATTCTACACCATGTGTCAACCAAAAAGTACTAATTATAACAATATTATTTGTTAGGTTATAAAATCAAAAAATTGAAATATATATATATATATATATATATATATATATATGAAAAAGATCTTCTTATACTCTAAAAATTCTCACATCTAATTTAAACATTTTATTTAACTTATATCTAATGTCAAATGAAGTTATAAATAATAACCCAATAAATGTAAGTTAAATAAAAAGTTTAAATTTGAGGTATATATATATATAGTTTTTAAGGCCTCTATTATGTGTATAAAAGGAAGTTATCACTTAAAGATACCAACCAAACCATACAAGAAAGTGAGAGGGAGGCGTGTGGGAGATTGATTTGGATGTAGAGGGACAGAGGTGTATCTAATTATGACAATACTTGATGAAGGAATTAATGAACTACTCTGCTACTTACGAATCATCATTGTTGTTTACCATTTTTAATTTATAAACACTTAAATAATACTACCTCATTAATTATAATTATTTTGAATCAAAAAGCTGGTCAAGGTATGGTTAGTTTAAATAAATTTGATGAAAAATTATATTGAACTGGTCATTTCGTAATTTTTATTTTTTAAACAAATAAAGAATCATGCTCTTGGTAGGGTCTGAGATGAGTTACCTGGAGATGTTTCTTATTGAAATGTGTCATAAAAGGAAGCACAATGCATGAATTAAAGCAATCTCTTTCTTCGTAACAGGGATAAAGTTAGGAAATAAAATTTACTTTCAGTGCTCTCTGCATTTTCCTTATGAACATTATATGAGTATAAATTCTCACTTTGGCTCCAAGCAATTCCTAATAAATTTTAAAGGCTCCCACATTTCTTTAATTATTTTCTGTTCTCTCTCTTTGTGTTTCCTTCTCAAGAGACATTATCAACCACAACAATGGCCACCACATCTAGAAGCGCTTCTAGGAATAAAATGTCTAAACAGCACTTCAAAGTGTGTTTTTGTTTCAAAAGAATGTTTAGGCTCAACGTGGCTGAACCTCCAGAGGAAATCAACATTGTTTTTGATGAGCATTCACAAAATGGTGTCATGAGCATGGATGACTTGTACCAGTTTTTAGTTCAATTTCAAGGAGAAGAAGATGGTGATGCCACCAATAAACTTGCTCAAGCTGTTTTTGACAGTTTCAAGCATCTCAACATATTTCAAAGGAAGGGTCTTCATGTTGATGCCTTCTTCCGTTTTCTCTTAAGTGACCTTAATGGTCCCCTTGCTGAGGTAATATTCGTTTCACCAGTAGAAAAAGCCTTTTTTTACATATTATTCAATACATTTTTTAATAATTAATTGTTTTTTAAATAGTCAAAACACTTATTTAGCTCGTAAATTGATCAATTTTTAAAAATATTTTACTTTTTAAAATACTGCCAATCACAGAAAATGGGTTGAAGAATGTAAACAAAATATTATTTTGTTAGCATTATAATTTGGAATTAATTCTTCTAATTATGTTGTGGTTTTCTCGTATTTTGGTGTGTTTTGGTCTTCTGGAAACCCAGGTGCACCATGACATGAATTTTCCGTTGGCACATTATTTCCTATACACGGGGCACAATTCCTACTTAACTGGAAATCAAGTTAGCAGTGCTAGCAGCACCTCACCAATAATAAAGGCATTGAAGAAAGGAGTTAGAGTAATTGAGCTAGATTTATGGCCAAATTCCAGATACGATGATGTGCAAGTTCATCATGGAGGGTATGAATTTAGTTTTCAATAGAATATTATGGATGAGATACTTAAATTTCCTAGTATAACAATTGTATGTGCAATTTTAGATATTCAAATCTAGTAGTCATCACCTTCAAGAAAGCATTACTTAGCCACATTCCCATCTGAGCTCAAGGGATCAGCTTTTATATATAACTATGCACGTGAAGATATTCGATCAAAGATTAAAAACCTAAATGGTCGAAAAATGGATTCTTCAGGAATATAATATATGAGGAAATGTTGAGGAAACATATGGAATAAATGAAAAGTTTATGTTTAAACTAACTTATTTTGAGATAGCATTTTAAGCTTCTTAAGAGAGTTTTTTGAAAAATGATTAACTTTTTTAAAAAAATAATGTTAACAATCTTGAACTAAAATTTTTAAAACTAATTTAGGTCAAGCTTAAGTTTGATGTATTTTTTATTTGAATACGAGTTTAAATTGACATATTTTTACCTGATTAATTTTAAAAAAATTGTGACAAATTAAAATAAAAATCGATTAAAACATTTTGCACAATATAATAATTTAAAAGTAATATGATTTGTTATTGTAAATCATCTTTAGTTAAAGTTTCTTTTTTTTTTTAAATCTTTTGACTTAACATAAAATTTATTACTTAGTTATGATTCAATATTTACTCAAGCTATTATCAAGTCAAATTTGAGTAAAAAAATAATTCGATCAAAATATTAACTCTAGTTCAAGTCAAGTCAAATCAAGGCTATGAACATTCCCTGTTTCTCTTCTCATCTTTACAGAGAATAGGCTTAGATGTATTAACATTTCCCTCTTTCCTGCAACAAGATTGTCCGTTATCTTGTGTAATATTTATTTATTTATATTTCAGTTTGTTCAAATCCCATGTCAACTTAAAATATACTTAAAATAGTTCTTATAAAATTTGAGTAATCTTCCTACTTACGTTAGCTTTTATGATTAAATTTAATCCATTTCTAATTTGATATCATAATATATTATTTGTTATTGTTTGTTTTCATTCATCAGAAGTTCTAACTTAAGATGCAATCAAATATCGTCTATCTATTACATTTTAGTTGTAGCATATTGTGAAGAGATTTTAAGTAAATAAGACAAGAACAAGTATATATATATATAGTTGAAAATGCAAAGAATCTGGTATACCACTAATCAAATTTCTCGTCATAATTGGATTCACTATAGATCTTAGTCCTTACTGTATATGTGTCTCTCCACTTTGTTTCATGTGCATTGCAACTTTCAGCATTGATATAATTGAACTAATTGACTTGCTTTAATTCTGTAGAACTCTAACTTCATCAGTGAAACTCAAAGCATGTTTGAATGCCATTAAGGAGTATGCATTTGTCACCTCTCCTTATCCTGTTGTCATAACTTTTGAAGACCATATAACTCGACCTCTTCAAGCCAAAGTGGCCAGGGTTAGTACAACTCATTACAGATACATGCAATTTCTAGCTAGTGTTTTAAATTGTCTGCAAGATCGTAATATCAAGGTTTTAATATTTTTTGCGACTATATTTAAAATTATAACATTCAATGTTATTAATGAATTGAATTTTGTAATATTTTATTGTTTAGATAAAAACTTATGTTCCATAAATTTTTATTGTTTGCACTTAGATTCATTGGAAAAAAAATTGATCTTCATAATATCAAAGATCGTAAAATAACCCCAATTATGACGCAACAGCAATATAAAACACTGGCTACACCACTAACAAGGTTTGAAATGACATAACATTTTTCAGTGGAAATTAAATAAATATATTTGAATACAGATGGTGGATGACATATTTGGAGACATGTTGTTTCGCCCTCATTCACAACCAATGAAGCAATTCCCTTCTCCAGAAAAATTGAAGGGAAAAATTTTGATTTCAACTAAACCACCAGAGTCTCATGAAAGTGAGGGTCAGAAGGAAGAAGGACAGAGGCTTGAGGACAAAGGTGACAAATTTAGAATCGATTCTAAGGTGAACAAGAATTTGATGAAAAGTTTGCTTATAATGATGAGTTAGTTAACTAATTAAGAGGTTTCTAATTAATGAGTTTGTTGTTGTATTGCATTTTAGTCTCATCAGGATGATTTATCTGAGGATGAGGAGGATGGTGTTGAATACAAGGATTTGATATCCATTCGTGCAGGGAAGCCAAAAGGTAAGTTGGAAAAGTGGCTCATGGATCAGGATGATCAAGTGAGGCGTCTTAGCTTGAGTGAGCAAGAACTTGAACATATTGCTAAAACTCATTCAACTGACCTTGTCAGGTGATTTCAACATTTTTTTAGAGCTTAAATGTGTTTTGCTTCTCACCTTTTTATAACTTTTTATTTCAATCCTTCCCAACTTTTCTTTTATCTTTACATTTTTATGAGTTTTTTTTTTTTCAAGTCTCTTTTATAGATATGACTTTATTAAGAATTGGCATGTCACATTATAATTTAACATCTGCTAAGAATTAAAGTGCTGAATTTTAAAAAAAAAAAATTCAAAACTAAAAAAGCATTAAAAAAATAATCCCGTGCCATCTTTTTTCACAGTACTCTGGTTGGACCTATGGTGTTTTTTTTATATATATATAGAAAGAATCAATTTAATCTTCTGAAGTTACATAAATTATGATATTAGTTCTGAAAAGAATTTTGACCATCAAATTAATCCTTTAATTTTTTTATCACTATTTTAATCCTTTAAAAATTGTCACTAAATTAATCTTTGAAAGATTTGATTACTGTTGAATTCGTTCTTAAAACATTTCGTGACAAGTACAATTAATAATATTTAAAATCTTTGAGAGACTGTCGTAAAAATAAATCTTTAGAATATTAATATCATGATGATTTAAATATTCAAAAAACTAATTTAATAAACAAAATCTTTTAAAAAAATTACTGCGGGGCCACACATCTAACATTATAAAATAAAATGGAAGGTGTTCCTATGTTCTGTTACCATATTATATATTCACCATCAAAATAGTTTATATTGTTCCATCCTATAGATTCACCCAAAGAAATTTGCTTAGAATATATCCAAAGGGTATGCGTCTGGACTCGTCTAATTACGATCCCATGATTGGATGGATGCATGGAGCTCAAATGGTAGCATTTAATATGCAGGTTAGACTTTGTTCTTCATCTATTTAGCAATTAATGATGAAAAAGACAAACACAGACTGCACATTTGAATTGTGGTTTAAAGGAGGATCATGGAAAGCAAGCTGCAACAGCAACCTCCTCCTTTAAATTCAATTTGATAGGAACTGACTTGAAACTAGTACTCTTGTGATAGTTTAATAGCGTGCATGCACAACAATTATGACACTAGCATAAATTGTAGTGGTGTAAGTGCTTGGTGTTTATTAGCCATTGCATTTGATTTTCTACAAGAAGAATTTTCATTACCCTTCATGTGAAACCACTTCCTTGCCTGTTACTTCTTAGTCTTAGATGCAGTTTTTTTGTTGATTATGCACATGTTTAGGTGATTCAACAGGTATCAGAACAGTTGAGGCAAAATGAGTTAGAACACTAAAAACCAAAATGATAAGGGGAAGTATATAATGCAGAATAATGTAGAATGGGAATTAAACTCAACATTTTAGTATCCTATAATGACTTGCATCTTTTAGTTAAAATTCACACTAGAATCTTGGCTGCATTCTTACTGGATCCTGCAATGCCAAGAAATTCAGTTTCTACTTTCCATTACTTAGAATTGTGAATAGAAACGAAACAGGGTTTGATGGATATCCATGTTCACTTGCAATTTCGTTTTCTTAAAGGGAGGTGGACACTTTCTTAGGTACATGGAAGGAATGTTCAGAGCCAATGGTGGCTGTGGTTATGTTAAAAAACCAGACATCTTGTTGAATGTTGGCCACGATAATGAGGTTTTTGATCCAAGAGCAAGCCGAAAACCCAAGAAAACTCTTCAGGTGAAGGGAATGTGCACAATCACATATATTTTTTAATTGTCTGTTAAAAATTAATAAATAAATAATATTATTAAAAAATAAGGTTAAAATATATTAAGAATATTTAATGATATATTTTAAACATATGAATTTAATTTTGATATACTATTAATATAAAAAAATTATAACGTTAATTGACTTTTAAAGTAATTATTATAAAAGTTAATAACTTTGAACTATTGGGGTATTTAAACTAAATTTTTAATTAAAAATAGTTTTACCTTTTTAATCACTTACCTAAAGATAATGGTTCATAAAACTATATTTGAAAGTACAAAAGTTATCTTCCGTCTATTTTTTGAAATTGGGCTTCCTCTAATTTAAAGATAATGACAAAGCAGGTTTTGGTATACATGGGTGAGGGGTGGCATTCAGATTTCGGCCCAACCCACTTTGACATTTATTCTCCTCCTGACTTCCGTGTACAGGTAACACCTTTGATCCACATGCAAAGATATAAAATTCAATTTTTGATTACTGATTGCTATTCCTCTGAGTTATTCCCCTTCTATCTTCCTGTCAACTAAAGGTTACAATTTCTGTTCTAGTGTTGTTTAATATAGCAAAATAACTACGGCATGACACCCCATCAATGTTAAGATAGAAACTTTTCTACTCCAATTAATGGAAAGATAATTGGAACTATTGAACATATTGATATATGGGGTTTGTCTGAGTTATCCCATAAAATAAATAATGCCATCTTAATTGGACCCATGAAGTTAAAATATTATATTAAAAATTGTATCAATTTTGTGTTTAACTTTTTATAGTCAAAGTCTTATTGATTCATCTAGGATAGAGTAATCTTATGGGATAAGTTAGACAAAGCCCAATATACTTAATTGTACAAAAGTGTTATTTGCACTAACACAAAATGAATGATGAATGTGCAGATAGGTATTCATGGTGTCCCAGATGATACAGATACCAAATACACAAGAACAATTGAAGATGATTGGGTACCAGTATGGAATGAGATGTTCAGTTTTCCATTAACTGTTCCAGAATTGGCCCTTTTGTACATAAAAGTTATTGAGCGTGACTTTTCTGGAAGACATGATTTTGGTGGACAAACATGTTTACCTGTATCTGAATTAAGAGAAGGCATTCGTGCAGTTCGTTTGTGTAATCGCAAGGGTGAACCTTACAAATCAGTTAGGCTTCTGATCCAACTTCATTTTGTTACTAATACAACTCCATAGAAATCTATGCTATGATGTTCCTTCTGTTGTCATGTTACTGCAAAATTAAACCATTTTCATATATCAGAAAAGAAATATTTATTCATACAATATAAACTGTTAATTGGTTTAATGTGTGTTTGTAGCTTCTTCTTACAAATTGGTTATGCTTTATGATTGATTATGGGATCAAAATCCCATCATACATATCTATTTGTATTATGGTTGCCAGTGGGTATGGTTCATTGGTCAACATACTCCTCATGATAATTTCATGACTCGAGTTTGAATCTCTGAGTGTCTTATTGATATGTATATATGATCTAATTACAAACTCGTTGATTCACAAAGATTGCATGAGATAAAGAATGTCAATATCTGACCTCTATCCCTCTATAGTTCTTTTCTTTTGGTATTTTATTTTAATTTAAATAAGGAAACCAGTACTTACATTTGCCTAGTGGATTACTTTTAAATAATGAATTTTCTGTACACCGTCAGATATTGTTAAATTAAAATAATTTCTTAAATAGAATTATTAAAATAAATGTTTACATAAAAAATATATATTGAACGATTATTTTTAAATTTAATGAAACTATAAAGTTAAACAAGTAAATGTATTAATCATTAGTAATATATATTTAATTATATTAATAAGATTAAATTATAGAAATTAAATTTTTAAAATTACAAAATTTAAAAATTAAATTAAATTGAGATTGAATAAAAATTAAATATTTAATACACAAGATGTCTCATAACATAATTAAAAATATGTTTTATAGATAAAAAAAATTCAGATAGAGGTGAAAGAGGAAAAAGGAGACTGAATTTTAGCAAAAAAAAAAAAAATTCGTCAAGCAATTTTAGGTAAAAAAACTTATGGACAGATAAGGTTGTCAATTAAGCATCTAGCTTTCGACTCAACCCATTTAACTTTATATTCAACTCCTATCTTTTTCCGCCCATAAACTTATGGATGACTCATCCTGAAATTTGTTTGTTCTACTCTCAAAGGGGAAAAAAATGTTTTCGTAAGTTATGTGAATTTATATATATATATATATATATATATATATATATATATATATATATATATAGATAATTATATTCTTGAAATATATTAATAGGAATTTAATTTTTAACTGCGTATACATAGAAAAGACTTTATTAGAATATATATAGATTTTCATTATGTTTTTTTTTTCATAAGCAGACTACTATTTTTTATTTATGAGAAAAGAATTAAAACTTTTTTCGTTTTTTTTTAAAATATATAACTACTAAATAATTTCTTAAAATAACGTCTAGTTAGTTAAATATGTGTATGTATAACTTTAACGTTAGATTCGAAACTTTATTGATTTTTGACACTATGCAATAAAAATATTATTTTAAAATAATTACATTATATGAATATATAATTATTTAAAAATATTTTTTAAATTATTTAACTATATATATATATATATATATATATATATATATCTTAAAATAAGATATTTGAATGTTGCATGTACTATTAATTAGTATTTATGAAAATAATTATAGAGAGAAAGATACAACAACCTTCATAAATAAGATAATAGATTTTCTTGAGACTATCGACATTTGAATATTATCCTAAACATTTGACTAATTTACATCGCATTGAATAAGATTATTGTGAATAATAAATTTTGCTTTACAAAATATTTATATGCTTGAGAATTCAAAGTCGTGACCTGTTCGTGCTCGATAATAGAGAAAGAAATATAATTTCAGAAAAGGATATTCATACCAATAATGAAAATGAATTTATTGGTATAAAAGAAATGATATCATAAACAAATGCTGGAAAGCTAAGTGAGAATTGAAAACAGAGTCGGAGACATTGAAACAATGGTGAGTGAGTGAAGTGGTCCATGCATGGGAAGAAGACAAAATGGGTTGGATACAATACACCATTAATAAGAACCTAAACGATATAAATGTCCGTTTTTGGAGCCGTTGATTATGAAATTGTGATGCCCTAAATACTATTACTCTTTGACCAAACAACCCGTTAGCTTTTAAATTCTTTATTCTTTGTATATATTAAATGGGTCAAGTTTTTCTTAGTGCATGAATATATATAAAATTAGGAACAGTAGTAATAAAGTTTAATTGCGTTTATATATGTAAAACGATTTATTTAATAAGAAATTATGCGTTCGAACTTCACGGCAAAAAAAAATATATTATTTTAAAAATTTTTAAGTTTAAGGACGTCTTTGGTCTTGAAGAAAAAAATAGAGTATTTTATAAAATTTGATTTTGCAATTTATTTATTAGTAAAATATTATATATGCTTTTTAGTTTTTTCATTTTAATTTATTTAAATTAATTATGCATATTTTTTATAATTTTAAAACTAATTAAAATTTATAATTTTAAGAACTTATCGTAATCAATTATTTTATTATGTATATTTTTGTTATAATTGTAGATATCCTTTTCTCTGAAACTATTTCCTTTTAATTTATATTAAAACATTATTTCGATTTGAAAGTTTGCATACCACACATGAGATACTTAAACAATTTATGATCATTCGTTTTATATGTGTTTACACATTCGAATCAGTTCAACACCTCTCTGATACATGAATAATATAAAAATATAATAAAGATAAATGTACCAATGATAAAAAAAAATAGAGCAAATTACATTTATTTTCTTAAACTAATGTTTTATCTAATACTGCTTTCTTTTTATACACTACTTAGACCTTTCCTAATTTATATAACCATATAAAAAATGTCAGATAAAATTTTATTGAACCTCAAAGGTATGAGTATAATTTTTCTCTAAAAAAATAATATCCTACAATTATTATGTCATTGAAGTTCCTATTAATGTGTTAATTTATCAATGTTTAAAAATTTGTGTCAATTTATCGTGTATATATTATAAAATCTTGAAGTTAAAAGAAAAAGATGAAATGAACTATCAAATACTCGTACAATACTTTTTTTTTTTTCAAAATTCCATTCAAAACTAATTATAAAAATGTAACACCTAATATTAATAATTTGAAAGAGGTGGAGCAATACCCATCAATTTGATAATGATTTTGTGCACTCAATGAGGCTGTGAACGTGGTGCATCAGCAAATGGTTTAGTTCCTGCAGGCCATCTTTGACCATGAGGTGTGTGAGACTAATTATAGAAGTGGATGGTTTGGTTGCACTTTTAATTTTCTTGAAACAGGCCTTGACCTAAACATGTGGGTTAGGTTGATCACTAATAGGCCCTTTAAAGGAGATAAGGGAGAAAAGCTTTTTGTAATGCACTTATTTAAGGGTGGTGATGCCCAAAGGTTATGAAGGGCACAACTACAGTTTAGGTAGCACAGCTTTGGGTTGCATATGAGGAAGACTTTGTTTGGCTTGGAAGATGAGATTTGGGCTTTAGCTGCTTATGAATTTTCTGCTATGGTGATTTATAGACAATTAATTACAGGATGTAATCTTGATTGCCATCAATGGAGGCACTTTAATAATGGAATTATTTCACTTTCCATAATGTCTGGGAGGTTCATGTGTATCATGTCTGCAAGGAAATAAATGTGTGTGTGTGTGTGTGTGTGTGTGTGTGTGGATATTCTAGTCAACCCATGTTTTTCACACCCTTCTGAGATTATTACTTCAATTGTTCTCTTACGATCATGTGTGTTTAAAGGTTACCTTATGTAAGACTTGAGTTCATTAGTTTATAATATATTTTCAATTTTTATCTTCAATATTTTATTATAAGACAATTAATATATTTTTTTATTTCACAAACCTTTAAACCCACACGTTCTCTATCACATTATTTTTAAATTTCTTTATATAAAATAATCAAAATTATAATATATATAGATTCATTTATGTTATCTAGTTTTATTTAATACGAATTTTTTTAAATGAGAATAAAAATTCAAAACATTATCATCGTAACTTTTAAGTGATAAAATATTTAAAATAAAATACAAAAAGTGATAATTATCTTCAACTTATATAGTTTTCAAACTTTAAGTTAAAAAAATATATACTATTTAACTAACAGCCGTGATTTTCATTAACAAAATAATTTATTGATTTTTGACTATTGTCCTGTAACTAAATGAATGAGTTAAAAAAAATAACAAAGGAACTTAGCTGAAGAGAATGATCTATTGGCAAAAAGCGCCAGATAACTACGAAAGGAATTTGCATGTGGCAAGTGCTTGTTAGATAAGAAGGGAACTCAAGGAGCCAAGGCAACCTTTCAGCTGCTCAAGCAAATGTTAAAATGGTTTTCAACCAGAAAGTGAGTGAGAAATTCGGAAAATGTTCATCATCAATAATATTTTACAGTTTAATATTATTTTTCTGGTCATAAAATCCAACGTATGTGTAGATATCCAACATATTCTAACCTTAAAAAATGGTCCTTAAACAAGTTGAGCCCGTTTTCTTTCCTTTTACGACATCTTTTCCCACCATTTAAAGGCCTTTTCACATTGAAAATGGGGGTCACATCAGACTAAAATCCCTATCTTATCGTTAAAGATATCGAAAGTCCATTTATGGCATTGATTGAAGATTGAAAACTAATAATGGGTCCTCTGCCTTTGTACCCGTGAAAATTAGATAATAAACCTGTCAATGTGGATGGATCGCGTGAATGAAAAATAATATAAAAAAGTTGATAGATCCCTCCCTGTGGTACAAAATACCCTTACCAATTATGTGGATATAATAAAGAGCAAGAAAAATTATTTGCCATCTTAGAGATGACTAAAGATTTAAGGGACACTTAATTAAATAATATTTGCATAATGAAATTTTATTGTGTGAGAATTTTTATAATAAATTCTTTAAAATTAAGTTAAAAATAATTTATAAAATTTGAAATTATTTTTAAATATTTTTTAAAAATAAAACACTCCCTTAACGTGCGATTAGGATGATTAATCGGTATAAGATGTGCAATTTAAAGAAAGAAAAAACGGAAACTCTGGAATGTTAAGATTTAGCAATTTATATTATATATGCTTCTAATTTCAAGAGTATCATGCACCTAGATAAGTTTTACATTTACAAACCTTTTTTTCTTGATTAATCACATCCAGAAACGTTACATGAACTGTGCTTTAGTTTATATATCAGAAATCAATAATTTATTTATTAAAATTCATAAAAATTAGTGAAATATCATTTTTTTTTGCTGGAAAATATCATATATTTATATTATATTTTTAAAACATGTTATTAAATGATCAAATCGTTGATTTATATATTAAATAAAAAATACTTGTTTACATAGATAATGAGTTGAATAATAAATAAGTAATTCATAAAACCTAAATTTTATAATAAATAAAACAATAAAAAATTAATAATTAATATATATGTGAAAATTATTTCCAATAATTGAGACAAAATTTATTATTAATTATCTCCTTTTTAAAAAACACGAATATATAATTTTTCATTTTCTCTTCAAATAACTATATGACGTGAGGAGAGACTGTTATGAGTAAAGAGTATTTATATTTCTACGATAAAACTATTGAACATTAATTTTTTTTTATCATTCTTTATCACATTATTTACCTTATCGCACACTTTTATTCTTGTTATATATATATTTTGAAGTTTTAATAAATGAGAAGAAATAAAAATATTCAGCAATTTATATTAGCTCACCTTATATTTAAACACTGATCTTTGTCGAAATTTTTATTATTACAATATCAAAAATAGAATAACGCTAACATCATAATTAAAATTTATTTAAATTTATAAAAATTTAGTAAATTTTTATTGATAATAATTATATGTTACTAGTATTTCTCTTACAAACAAGTATAACTGTACTCTTATATTACAACCTCTCAATTTGTTTAAACTGTCTGTTCCTTTGAATCATATTATAGATAATATTTTATGTTAGTTTTATTTAACAATTTTGTTAAAATAATGTGAATTCATCTCAGATTAACACGTTTTTAATCATAAAAAAATTATTTATACTTTTATATATGTACATATTACGTTTCTCATGTTATATAAATAAATAAGTTTTTATATATCTTAAGAATTTGTTTGTTTATTCTTGCAACGGAGTTCAGAGAAAAACGACCTTAAATTGAAAAAAGGGTCTTCAACAAAAGTTTATAGCATCGGAAAGTGTATAAGCTCGTGTTGGCAAGATATCCAAACAATAATTTCCGATTATAGTAGTTACGGAATGGAGTCATAAAACGATAAAACGACGTGTAAAAAGAAAGAAAAAGGACATAAAATGATAAGGCAAAATAGGGCTCAAAAAGCATGACACTTGTCGACTATATGTATTCACTGTAGATAAAGATTTTTGGTTACAATAATTACGTACCGCATATTTTTTTAGTTTTTATTAGCAATTTGGTGGTTAAGCGCAGCCCTGTTTTAATTTAAATAATTAAGATTAAATATAAACAAATAAAATGAAATTCATTTAATATAACTTTTATTGAATGTGATATGTGCTCTAAAGTAGTTGTCATAACGATCAAAAAACATATAACGTATTACAATGCTTGTTATCTTTTTAAAAAATAGATATCAAATAAAAAATATTAATTAAATTATATATTTTATTTTTATAATTAACATTCATTTTAAATAATTTTTATATTTAAATTACACTTTGATTTTTGAACGAATCTCTACAATTTATGTTTCATTAAAATATAATAAAATATTCATATAAAAATATAAAGATAAATTTTTTAATTGTATAAATTAATTTGTGAACAAATATTAACTATAAAAATTAAATATGTATTTTAATAAAAAAAATTAAAAATCCAACAACTTTTATTTTAAAAATTAATCTTTTAAATTTTTTTTCTTGTTTTTGTTTTATTCCTTTGTAAGTAATTTGTTGACTTATTCTGTTATTTAGATTTAACTAAATAAATTTTTAAATAATTATTAACTTAAAAATATATAAAAATAAATAATTTTTATAAGTTTAAAATGACTTATATTACTTAAATTAAAAATGAGACAAACATAAATTATATTAATTTATAAAATATTTGTATTTATTTCACTTTTTATTCTTATAAATATTTATTAAAAATTATACAAACTAAATAATTTATATAAAATTTTAGTTGAGCTATATGTAATTCAATTAAAATGTAACATAAATTAGATATATTATTAAAATATTATAATCTTTATATTTTAATGAAATTTAAATTTATTAAATTTAATTTTTTATCTAATATAATACAAATTGCGTTGAACGTTATATATAAAAAATTAAAAAATTATCAGCTAACAAATCATATAAAAAAATTGGAATTAAAAAGATAAAGACAAATAAATAATTTATATTTTTAATCCTAATTAAGACATAAAATTGAAAAAATGAGATAACATAAAACGAAAGAACTGGAACGTGGAAATACTAATTAGGAAGCTAAAAGTGCCGTACCGATGATAGAAAATGGCAGAAAGCAAGCATTTATGGGGTACGAGTTTGTCGTCCACAAATAGTAACGGCTAAAGCTTTTGAGTTTTGACAAACACAGCAATAGCAATGAGTAGTTGCGTTGTGGTTATTAAAAATAAATTAAGTTGGATTTTTTCTAAAATAAGAAAATTACTTTTTGCAGAAAGCGAGTGAGGCACTCCTATCAGATTCCCCCACCCTCAATTGCCGGCACCACTTTCCTTCCACTGGAAACCCACTACTTTACCCACACCTCTCACGCGCCGTCACATTTCCTCGCAACGCAACCCCATTCTTTTCGCGTGTTACTGGAGAGTGCCACGCAACGCAACCCCATTCTTTTGGGTATGAAGTCTTAATTTGTTTGAACGAGAAGAAAGAAAATAGAAACTGAAAATATATAAATTTTAATATAGTTTTCATTCATAAATTCGCATGAGCTCCTTTTTATCTTTATAAAATTCCTACTAAATACTAATAAAATTAAGGAACGTTTTTTTGGGGGTCAATTATCCCCCCCTGGAAAATATGATAATGATACCCCTCGCACACAGCATTGACATGACATGGACAGCTATAAAAATCAATTTGTCGATTAACCATTCCTCTAAATCTTTCTTGATTCTGGAACACATCAAACCATATCTTTATATTACTTATCTCCCTTTATTATTTTTTTTCCCAACCCTCTTTTTAATTGTGGTTTCAGTCCTTCCAACGCACCTCACCAAGCAAACCTTCTATTCAATCAATTCTTTTTTCACGAAAATATAAATATAAATAAAAATCCATGTTAAAAGTTCACTTTAGTGTACGTATAATTGTTTTTCTCTTTAACTAGGGACAGAAGAATTAGCAAAAATTTACGCTTCACCATCAGTATTATATTAATCGTTTTTCTTAACATATATTTTAAAAATACATAATAAAAATATTTTCATTAAAAAACATTAAATTAAACATCACCAATATATTAAATTTTATATAAATTTTTATGAAATTTTATCATCTATACATTTATTATAATATTATATAAATATGCAGGGTATCATTTTTATTTACCCTAGACTTACTTCTCTCAACTAAATTGAGTTCTTTTATACTTTTTTGATTTTTTTTCTTCAACAAATTAACTTCGATTTTTTTCTATTTTTAATCTGAATTAAAAATCAATTAAACTACACACAAATAAGATTCATTTAAAAATTAAAAATGATTAAAATTAATTATAAAATGTTCGTTAATATTACATTTAACTTAAAAGTATTTTGAGTTAAACTCGAATAAAATTGAACCGCAAATCCCGTAGGGGTTCCCTTTTTATTATACTACAATAAAGCTTTCCGTAGATTACACTGAACACTTTTTGCGAGATTTGCAGCATTGATTCTATTGTTTATTCTTTGCATTTATTTTTAACAAAAAAAAAATATTCACTCGTAATTTTTTAAATAATTGACATAGAAATGCAAATTAAGCACACAAGAAAAGAACAACGAGTCTAAGAGGCTAATCTATCCTTGCCTTTTAGAAACTCCTTTACTAGCTCAACAGCAACACCTTATCAAATTCTTATCATCATTTTTTTATGGAAATCATTATTTGTTTGTTATGTAAGATATTTTAGAAAAAGATTATTAGTATGTTGACTTTTTGTAACGGAACATTTACAATCTATTCAATATTCCGCAAACTTTTTTGCAAATTTAAATACTCAAATACGAAATTTTTAAGGGGTAATAGTAATATGATAATTAGAAAAGACTAAAGAAGATGAGTTCACTTAAAATGGAAGATAAAAAGATGAAAAATAAATAAGTAAAGAAAGGACAAAAGGTCTTTGTCCACTCAAAAGCATGACACTGACGTGCTTTTGCCCCCATTTGCTTAAGTGGGCACGGCATCTGTCTCGCTCTCCCTCAACCACCTTGAAAGACAGGCACTTGCAACTCTAAATTTTTTTTTCATCGTTTATATGCCTAAATCATTATTTGCTACACTTTCTAATAATAGAAATTGTGTTATTTAGTCATTATTTTAATGTAAATAAGATATCTTGTAATAAAGCAAACTTACACGAGACCTTTTGCATTTTTTATAATTAATTTTGCAAGAAAAAAATTTTGAAAAAATTATTAATGCTTTTGTGGGTGGCTAAAATTTTTATTAAACTAAATTCAAATATAATGTGTCCTTATAATTTACATGAGCTCTGATTATAAAACTGCACTTAAATTTTATCCTTATAATTTATATATATGAAATATTAATTTGGAACGTAATAAATTAAATTTTATGCACAAAGAATATATTTAGCAAAATTATAATAAAGTCATTGTTAAAAGTAAGCTTAACTTGGAAACAAAAATGTTTTTAAAGAAATCGAAATAAAAATTTGCATGAAAAAAGTTGGTATTGGAAAATAATGGGTTAGGGAGTATAATAGAGGCACAGGCAAAAGAGGAAATGGGATGGTCCATGGAATTGGAAACAGGGAGTTGTGCACACCTTTCACTCATGGAGAGGTAGAGAGAATGAATCTATGCCCCCCATCTGTTTGTTCAGTGAGTGGCCAAATAAAAGGGTCCCACCATAACAAAACAATCCACCACAGCATAATATCCCTCTCTACAACAAGAAAAATAAAAAGGAAATCAAACGAAAACATAATCGTCTGCCACAACACCACCATCAAAGCAACAACACCTTCAGCACCACCATCACCAAACCCTCTCACTCTGCTCCTCCAATAAATTATTATTGCACGCTCTGAACAAGTAAAACCCAAACCCCTCTAACCCTTTTTTATTTTATTTTATTTATCATCATCATCATCATCATCGTCGTCGTCGTATATAATCTCTATACTAAAGTCCAAACCCACAAACCTGGCTCCCAGATAACGCTACATTTAACTACTTATTTCCCGTGCCATTCTATTATCGTATAATAATAAGAATATTATTATTTAATATCATAGAGTCATCTTGTTTATATTTGTTTTACTATTATATGTTATATATGCTTGCCGGCGATGCCGACGCCGGTCAGCATAGCGAGGCAATGCTTGACGGACGAGGCGGCGCGTGCGCTCGACGACGCTGTGGCAGTTGCGCGCCGTCGCAGCCACGCGCAGACGACGTCGCTCCACGCCGTGTCCGCTCTGCTGGCGATGCCGTCCTCCGCCCTCCGCGACGCGTGCGGCCGAGCACGCGGCGGCTCCGGCACAAGCGCAAACAGATTCTCCTCCTCCTTCAATCCCCGGCTTCAGTTCCGAGCCCTAGAGCTCTCCGTCGGCGTCTCCCTGGACCGGTTGCCGTCGTCGAAGAGCGCCGCCGAGGAGGAACCGCCGGTGTCGAACTCTCTCATGGCCGCCATAAAGCGGTCTCAGGCGAACCAGCGGCGGCACCCGGAGAACTTCCACGTGTTCCACCAGAGCCAGCAAGGAACGGCGTCGTTTTTGAAAGTGGAGCTTAAGCACTTCGTTTTGTCGATTCTCGATGACCCTATCGTGAGCCGCGTTTTCGCTGAAGCCGGCTTTCGAAGCTGTGACATCAAACTCGCGTTGCTTCAACCGCCGTTACTACCGGTTCAACCGTTTTTCCCGTCGCGAAACCGGTCACCGCCGGTTTTCATCTGCAACCTCGAACCGGGTCGACCCGACGAGAATTGCCGTAGGATCGCGGAGGTTCTCGCCAGAAAAAGCAAACGCAACCCTTTGCTTATGGGTGTTTACGCGAAGAGCGCTTTGAGGAGTTTCGTAGAGTTGGTGGAAAAGGGTCGCGGGGCTGCGTTGTTTTCTTCTGAGATTTCGGGGTTAAGGATTGTTTCGTTGGAGAAGGAGATTTTGGAGTTTGTAAGGGAGGGTGGGTGCGGGGAAGAGAAGATGGGTGTGAGGTTTGAGGAGTTGGATGGTGAGGTGGAGCAATGCTTGGGATCTGGGGTTGTTGTTAGTTTCGGGGAGATTGAGGTTTTGGTTGGGGAGGGTGTGAATGCTGATGCTGTTGGGTTTGTTGTTTCGAGGTTTACGAGGTTGTTGGAGATCCATGGTGGGAAGGTTTGGTTGCTGGGAGTGGCTGAAACTTCTCATGTTTATTCTAAGTTCTTGGGTTTGTTTCCCTCTGTGGAAAACGATTTGGATCTTCATGTGCTGACCGTGACATCTGCTACTGCGTCAATGGAAGGACTCTACCCGAAATCCAGGTGGGTGTGTGTTTGTTTTAACTTCTATTTGTTGGTGTTTGTTGTACTTGTATTGTTTTGGTTCAAGAGATGTGTACTGTCCAGGGCTCTTGCACGTTGATTCATGGATATGATATAAAAGGCAATGCACGTTTATAATTGATGGGGTTTAACTGAAGCCATAGCAAATCAATGATCGAAATGTAAATTTGATTGTGACTTGCCTGCGTGTTGTGTTTTGTGAACCGAATTTATGGAGTTTTGCTTTTTTGGTTGCTCTGAGCTCTCTGCTGTCTTTCTTGTTCTTCTGCTTTGTTACTTATAAAACGGCAGGTCGTTTGAGGCGGAATTTTTTCTGAATATTTTGAACATTTGGCTATGTTCTGCCTCACTAAACTCCGAACCTCTGTTTTCGTTTACTTGTTTTTCTAAATTTAGAAGGTACCGAAATGTTTTTAATAGGAAAATAAAAAATGAGTCACATGTAATTTATTGTCATGTACACTTACTGGGTCCAAGATAATTCTGAAACGTTTCTACAATGAAAGGTGCAAATCTTGAGTTTCATTACAATGATATATAGAACTTTGTTAGATGACTTAGAAAGCCGGAGAAATGTACTTAGTACTTACCAAGACAGGGTATTAGTTTTGTTCTGCTTGTGTTGGCCAAATGGATGAGCCTCTACGACCAGTATTTTGATGAATAATATGATTCCATTTCTGCATTGGGCCCTTTGCTCTGGGCTTGTCAATGGAATTTTCACTCTGTAGTTGTTGAGAGCCTTTTTTATTAGGTATTGTCAGATCCGAATGGATAATTTGAAACTTAAGTATGTGTCGACCACTATTGTGAGCCCATAAATTTCTAGTCTGTTGATATGTACATATAGGCTATGGTATATTTCGTTTTTGTAGACGATGCCTTGAAGTCTCTTTCATTATGCACATTTTAGCTTCTGACTGTTTTGTGCCTATTGGATCTCACAGTTCCCTGCTCATGATAAACTTACAGCTTGATGGGGTCCTTTGTTCCATTCGGTGGGTTCTTTCCTACACCTTCTGAAATAAAAAATCCCATAAAATGTACAAATGCGACTTTCACCCGATGTGACAAATGCAATGAAAAATATGAACAAGAAGTTGCTGATATTCCGAAGGTAGGTTCTACAACTCTGGCATCAAGTTACTCAACAAGCTTGCCTTGGTTACAAAAGGTTGTTGATGTGGACGCACATAGGAAGTTGGATGTGGCAAAGGTTTGTTGTGATTGCTAATTATTGCTTTTCTTGTCCAATGCATACTGAGACTTTCACATGCATAAATATACATGCAACACAGTGGGAGCAATTGCTGTGCTGATCCACATATAATAACTTAGTGGTACCCTATATGATGTTAAATTGTCTTGACTGGTAAGAAGAATACCATTTCAATTAGAAAAAGTTGATGTGGTGATTTGTATGTAGCAAAGCAAATAAAAAACAATATTTCTTTCTATTTTCTCCCTCTGAACTTTCTTTGGTGGAACCTATGGTTGTTGATGATTAAATTGTTAATCATATTAAGTGCGTGCCTTGAGACGATGAATTTAGTTAACTTGATGTATTATATCTTTCTGAGAGTTTGTTAAGGCAATAAAGTGTATTCTATTTCCTATTTGCACATTTATATTTCCTGTATATCTATGGTCTTACCATGTACATTTGCAAATGGTTGGAAGGATTTCGTCCCTATTAGTATTGGGATAAAGAAAATCATACTTATTTTTCATGTAACTCAAGTTATTCTACACTATTTTATCAATAAAAATGATATTGTCAACAATAATGTAAGTCGCCATCCCCATAAAGGCTGGGGTGTAAGATGGGAGGAAAGGAGAGATAAAGAGAAGAAAAAGGAAGAGATAGAAAATGAGAGATGTGATAGATGATGTGATCAAAGAAAGAGAAAGAGAGAGGGGAAGTAAAATGAATGTAGGAAAAAGAGCGAGTGAAATAATTGTCAGTTATGTTAGTTTTATTCTCTCTTGGGAAGCTGTAAGTTTTCCTTCTTGTGTTTATATTTCCTACCTTGATTGACATTCTTGGATTCACTTTCTGCCAATAATCATGGTTTGCATCACTTGCAATATTTCATTGCTTCAATTTATGGCTGCATATATTTATTTAAGAATGAGCTCCATTATCCAGTGCAGACCAATGAAGAAAACACAAATTTGAATGATAAGATCTTGGGATTTCAAAAGAAATGGAGTGATATTTGTCAGCATCTTCATCACCCCAGATCGGTACCTGAAGTTGGTATTTCACAAACAATGTCTCAAGCTCCAACACTTGAGGTTTTACAGTTTGGAACAGGTGTCAAGGAAAGCAACAGTGAAGATCCTTCACATAATGAATTACATGGTATTTTTCCACCAAAACAGTTATCATCTGTTCCGTTACCTTCTGATACAGTTAGTGTTAATATTGGAACTGATCATGTACCAAAAGTATCAGACACTCCGCAAATTGATCTGAAGACCCCTTGGGTTGCCCCATCCCATATGACCAATAAGAGTGGGCTTGACCACAGATCATCTTCCTTCCATCCTCTGGTGACCACAGATTTAGGATTGGGAACTTTATATACATCAACTGCTCAGGAGCCAGATACCTCAAAACTACAATATCAAAGAAAGCATCTTCAGCTCTTGTCAGACTCCGTTTCAACTGATTGTGATGCAAAAAATGAAAATACTTCCCATCAAATTGAAAGATCTCCCTACTGTGGTTCAAATTTCGAAGGAAAATTTGATTCAGTAGATTTCAAGTCTCTTTATCAACTTCTAACTGAAAAGGTTGGCTGGCAAGATCAAGCCATACAGGCTATCAGTCAAACTTTGGCCCTTCGTAAATCTGGTGGAGGAAGGCGCACAGGCTCAAATGGTAGGGCGGACATATGGTATGCTTTCCTTGGACCTGATAGACTTGGAAAAAAGAAAATCGCTTCAGTTCTTGCAGAGACTCTATTTGGAAACTCTGAAAGCATAATCTCTGTGGATCTGGATTTCCAGGACAGCTTTTACCCATCAAACTCGATTTTTGAATGTCATAAATCATATTGTTCTGATGTGCTTAGGAGGAAGACAGTTGTGGACTATATTGCTGGGGAGTTGAGTAAAAAACCTCATTCCGTTGTCTTTCTTGAAAATGTAGATAAAGCTGATTTTCTGGTGCAGAATAGCTTGTTGCAGGCAATAAGAACCAGTAAATTTCAAGACTCGCGTGGAAGGATAATTAGCATCAACAACACAATCTTTCTTGTTACCTCAACTGTCTGTAAAGGTAATGGCTCTTTTGTTTCGGAGGAGTCTAATAAGATGTTTCCTGAGGAAAGAATCCTTGAAGCCAAAAGACGTCAAATGCAATTATTATTTGGACATGCATCTGAGAATGCCAAAAGAATTGGTAGCAGAAATGTTATAGTTATACCGAGAAAAGGGATTTCCAAATCATCATTTCTGAATAAAAGAAGGCAGGCTGATAGTAGCGACTCCATGGAGGGAGCAACATGCAAGATGCAGAAACAGGTCAGTGATGCATCGAGATTAGGTCTGGATCTAAATATGCCTGTAGAGGAGGGTGAAGAGGGCATCAATGACAACGACCATGAAAGGGAATCCACAGTGGAAACCTCAGAAGCATGGTTTAACTATTTCTGTGATCAACTTGATGAGAAAGTGGTTTTTAAGCCATTGAGCTTTGAAGTACTTGCTGAGCAAGTATTAAAATGCATTAGCAAACAATTTCAAAGTACATTTGGCTCAGAGTTTGTGCTGGAAATTGATTATGAGGTAATGACACAGATACTAGCAGCTGCTTGGTTATCAGACAAGAAAAATGCAGTGGAGGATTGGGTTGAACGTGTTCTTGGCAGAAGCTTCGTTGAAGCTCAGCAGAAATACAACCCAGCTGCTCATTATGTAGTGAAACTGGTTAACTGTGAATCCATTTTTGTGGAAGAGCAAGCTCCTGGAGTATGCCTTCCAGCTAGCATTAACCTGGACTAAATTTTTGCTTACTGTGTTATTGTATAGCTTTTAGGATATAGCATTTGGTAGTTGGTAGGGGTGTTCAGATAATTAATCTCACAATTTTTGTTGTCTCAATCATCGTGTTGTGATATCTATGGTAAATGGATGTGTAATTTTCTAGAGTATAGCTATTTGGTACAACTTTTTTCCTTGTTCATAATTGTAGTCGACTGATGTTAGTGTGCAAGTACATACGATGATATTTGTTCTGCTCATGCACATTTTTAACATTTTCCCATTCAACTCTGGCTCTACCATTTTTTTGTGTAAAATGTTGTCAGCGAGTGCCATTTATGTATTGCATTTAATATAGTTCTAGTAAAGGTATTATACAGTTATATGAACATTATCGTTGATATAAATTGTTGATTTAGAAGAGTAATCTTTAATCCAAACCACGACACGTACCATTTAATTCAATGGGTATGATCTAATTATGTGTGAAAACTGAAACTTCAAATATCACTGAATATTTTGAGGGCTATATGGTTGTATGTGTGATGTACACACTCTTGAGTCTTCTTTATTCTTGATGTGATTTACTTCTCGTCAAAAGTATTCTAATTGCACTCCTGCATTTAGGAATCGTCTTGTTTTTTAAGATGAATTATCTTGTTGAGTGCATCTATGATATGGCATATCTTTTTGGTTCCCTCCAACTATAAGCACTTGGGCTTGTGAACCCATGTGCTTGTACTCAACCTTGTGGATATGGATGAAGCGTTCATCTCTACCAGAAAACAAAATGGATGACGAGTTCAATTTTTGTAGCTTCACCAATTTAAAGAAATTAAAGTAGATATTTATTTTTTCGAGGTCATAGCATGCAAGTCTATTCACTTAACATCGTACTTTGGGTACATTGGAATATAGTGAAAATTTTCCCGATGATAATAATCATGATTTTAAAAAAGATATACGTGTTCATATTATCCGTTTCATTACTATTATTTACAAAAGTCAGGAAAAAGTTGTGTTAACACTTGGCATAACGAATTAATTTTTTTTAATTATTATAATGCACAGGGTGAGCATCGATTTAAGTCAGAAAAGAAATTAATGTTTTCATAACTTTTAATAATCTTGTACAAAATATTATTTTGTTGATTTAATTATTGAATTATAATTTACCTATTATTTTGTATGTTTTATAAAAATTAAATTAAAATATAAAAAAGATAAAGAATAAAATAAAAATAAAATTAAACAAAATTAAAATTAAAATTAAATGACTAACATTATAGTTTTGCATATATTTTAGAATTTGAATTTGAATTTTTTTTAACTGAGTTGGATGTCATACTTTATTTTATTTTTTACATTTAATTGCAATATAATAAAAAATCTTATTTTTTATATTTCAAAAATTAAATAAATTTAAATTATTGTAAGTTTTTATAAACACTATTAGTAATAATATAGATTTTCAATTCAATAATACATTTTAGGATAAAATTATTTAAAAGAGTTGATTCTTCAATGTTCCAAAATAAAATTTCAAGAAAGAGATTTTTAAACTTAGAAAGTATAAAGAGGAATAAAACATACAAATGAAGAAGTAAAATTATTACTCAGAGACATGTATTTGTTTATTTCTTTTTACTTGGATATTTATAGTTATAATTTGTAAATATAAATAAAATTTATATTTATTAAGTAAATATAAAATAGAGGTGCTTTTAGTCAGGTAAGCGCAGTACTCTTTTCAAATTTTGTTAAAACATGTTATTTTGTAAATGAAGCAGACATACTTCTTCATATGGCTAAACATTCATTTTGCTTCATATTGTTGGAGCTGATGCTTTGATTCTTACATAAAGTTACACGTTTTTATCATTTTCAGAGTCTTAAATCATGTGTATTTTAAGGATCGCTTTCTATTATGTTTTACTTTTTTTTTTTTTGGATTCATGTTATTACCTACAATAATTTAGTTTATACTATTTTTTTATCTAGAATTTGTGTACTTTATCCTTTTTATTTGAACTTTTCTATGCTTTTACTTTATAGTGAGGTTGACAATTGTTAATTAAGTTAGGTCTCAATTTTGATTTAGATACATTCTTGGTTGTCATCCTAAATAATTAGTGTAAAAATTTTTGCCACACAAGTAACAACTATTGAAGGAATCACATGAAAATATAATTTAAAAAAAATGTTTAAGTTTAAACTTAAATAATCCTTAAACTATTTAAATGCGAGTCTTTAGTATTTGGTCGATCTATGTAAGCTTGCAAGTTAAAAGGACTTGGTTTGTAAATATGCTGATTAACTGGCTAACAAAAACTTTGCTTGTAAATTTGATTTAAAGACAAGACCAAATGAAGATATGAGAGTTTTTATAAATTTTTTTTCTCCAAAATTTATCTTTTATACAAATTTTAATTTGGGTGTTGATTTAATTTAGAGGATTTTTTTTAAAATAACATTAATTTAATTTATTATTTCTTTTTCTTGCTTTACATTTTTTACTTTTTTTTTCAACTCTTAAACAAAGCTTAATAATATTCATAAATTAAGATATATTCATCAGACTCCTTACTTAGTCCACAATTTTGATAAAATTATTTATTCAAATATGAACTAATGAAGTCTAAACAATGTGAGACTGGAATGAATTTTTTCAATTTGTTAACATAATATATAAATATTTATATTAAAACATTAAAAAAAAACTAAATCAAGGTGTAATTTATAATATATTAAAAAAAATTAACATAAATATAATATATTACACAAAATATTATTTATTAAGTCAAGAAGTCTTATAAATACATAAATATTAAAAAATATAAATTTTAAGAGAATATAAAACATATATAAGTTGAGACGATCTAAAGTATAACCTAAATTTACTTTAAAAATAGGGTGAGTCAACACCACCCTTGATGATTATTCATACAATTGTTAAAAAAAACATATTTTTCAATGTATTCTTAATTATTAGTTAAAATTATACAAAACATTAAAAAAAATTATATTGCTACTTCTTTCCAAAAACATAACTAAGCTTCCCACCCACTAAATCCCATTTTTCTTTAAAAAAGAAAAACCTATGAAACCCCATTTAAACGAATGCAAATTGATTTAAAACATGTTTAAAAAGAAGTTGAAAAATTTTATATTATAAGAGATATATTTTAATAAAAATAGATATTATTTGAATTAAATTATATGCACGTTTTAATTATATTTAACCGTTAAAATTAATTTCATTAAAACTAATTCTACTTCAAACGAAACTATTACTAATTTGTTTATTTATTTATTTTTTATTTTTTAATATTTTATACAAATATTGAAAAAATAATTGATGTTTTAAATTTTATTAAAAGTTATAAGAATGAGCTATAAGGACGAATATCATTTTTAAGCCAATAAATTGATAAGCCTTTTATAAATGATAGCTGGCTAGTAATTTAGTGCAAGCTATTTTTCATGATTCTTCCTGAATATATTTTTGCTTAAAACTGTGTTATGTTGTTTAATTTCTAGGTTTTGTGTTGTTTGAACTTAATGCACACATCATCGTACTTTTAAAAATTTCCTCATGAATCAAAGACTACAGTTAAAACTATCCTCATTGTGATCAAATGTTCGTTTAAAAAAAAGGTAACTTTTGTTTTATGCATATAATATGATAATTTCAAAAGCATAGTTAGATTATCTCTTTTTTAAATTCTTAAAATAAAAATTTATGTAAACTTTTAAAAATATTAGCACGTGTGTATAGCCTCTAAGCAAATTATTATTTTGGACTCCAATTTCATAAAAAGAAAAAAATCAATGTTGTTCTTAACTTAATAAATATTTTATTTAGCTTCTATTCATTTGACATATTAAATTTATTTTAAAAGATATAGTTAAAAAAGAGTTGCAAAGTTAAATATTGAAAATAAAATGACAATTTACATGTATAATTGTAAACTGTGCGTATATGCAAAACAAAAATGTGTCATTTTGTCATAGTATATAAAAATGCAACATTTTTTATTTTAATCAGGTGATTATCTAAATTAAATTAATCTAAATACTAATATTTATTTATTTTCATAATTCTATCAGGAAATTTTAAAAATCTTGATTATTATTTTTTTAAAACTCTTGAAATTGTGTATGTTAAAAGTAATGTACTAAAATATTACAAGTTTAGTTTATTTTTAAAAAAAATTATTTGTATTATATTTTCTAGTTATATTTGAAAATAAATAAATTTATTTAAATTTAAATTTTGTTGAAAATGCATTTGTCGTTTCAATTTTTTGTAAATTATATTTACACAACAACTTATGCGGTTAAAATAAAATAATTAATTAAGAAATTTTTTTACTTTATAAAAGATTTTTATTTTTTATTAGAGCTGGAAATACAATTTATATATTCATCTTAGTAACAGCTTTTTATATTTATGTGTATAATCTGCTTTTTTTTACATTAATAGGCTAGTCAATATGAGCTAAGTACTCCCTTATAAATTCAGATGGATTTTAAGTTGAAGATTTTATGGGTGTATATGTTTTTTTTTTAACTTTATATTTTTTTATTACTTTAATATCATCCCTAGTTTCCAGCATAAAAAAAAAACACACAAGTTGTAGAATAAAAAAAAAATTATATATTTAAACAACTCAAATTAATTTAAATATTTACGTATTAATTTTTATTAAATAAAATTTTAAATTCAAAATTTATATATGACTTTTTATCTTACAGAATTAGTTTACGTAAATGTTTCTAACTTTAATAAAATCTCTTCTTATGAAAAATATCCCCACTTCAATCCAAAAAAAAAAAAAAAAAAAAAAACACGCGTCAACTCTACCGCATATGCTAGTTGAATTACTTAAACTTAGTTAAATTTATATCCTAACCCAACAATATATATATATATATATATATATATATATATATATATATAATTTAACTATAAAATAGTCTAATCAAACAAAAAATATTAAAGAATAGTATATTTAATTAAAAAAGCATGTTAGTATTTTGACTATTTTCATACAGATCTGTGAAAATGAAAATAAATTTAAAAATTGATAATCTTATAATTAAAAATGATAATAGAAATAAAAAAAATCATTTGAAGACTTCTAATATTACTATAAAATTGTGAAATATATGGGTTTATAATTATTTATTTATTTTATTATGAAAACAATGCATTATTTTTACGTTTTTCCTAAATAATATACATGATAAATAATAAAATTATTGGGAAAAGATAAGTAATTTTGGAAATAAAAGTTTTTTCTTAAACTACTTTTGAACATTATGTTATATTTATGTTTTAATTTTAATTTTCTTAACTTTTAAGTTTTATAT